CAGCGCTGTCTGAATCTGAATCTTCATCACTCTCAAAGTTGATTATTAAAGGTTCGATGTCTGGTCGATCAAGAATTCGCTCTCTTTCATACCATTTCAAAATTTCTTGCTCAGTATGTCGAACACTATTTTTCCACATGTCTGGGGTAACCGTTTGTAGAGCCTCGTTCCACATATCCAAACAGTCTTTTTCACTGTTACCATCTCTACCAATATGTCTGTTATAGTAACCTTTTGCTATGCCCCAAATTAACTCAATAGGGTTAAATATACAATGGTAAGGAGGCAGACGAAGAACTTTGTGCCCATGTTGTTCCGCCAATTCATCAATCACGTATATTTTAGGTGGTTTGTTTCTAAAAAAGCAGTTATTTTAAGAATAGGAATAAACAAAAGAAATATAAACTGTCGACCAAAATATATATAATTAAGAAGCATTATGTACCGAGCAACAATACTCAATAGCTCTGTTTTAAACATTGTGTTTAAAAATGGTATGTTTTGATTTGTCAACCAGTCTTGGATATTTTTTTTGTCCATGCATTGTTGGGCACTTTGTTCAATATCATGCTGTGATAAGGGGCGTTATCCAGTATAATCATAGATGGACTCTCCAATTTTTCTAATAACTGATGTTGAAACCATTTCAAAAAATTGTCCTGGTTCATCTCTCCATGGTAATCGCTTAATTTTGTTTTCGAAGAAAATATCGCTTCACTACCCTCAATAAACCCATTTTCATTTCCAGCATGTAATATAATGTATTACCATCTGTTTTAATAGCTTTCACGCTTTTTTGGTTTCCATTTTGCCAAGAGCGACCTATGGTCCCATTTTGAAATATCCAAGTTTCATCGAGGAAGACAAACTGGTATAAGGCCTCAACCTTGGCTTGATTGTATTGCCTTAGAAATTCCACCCTTTTCAAAGCTATACTTGGTAGTTCCATGAGCCCTCGTCGCGGATTGTCCTTAAGCCACTTAAATCCAAGATCTCTAAGCAACCGCCTTAAAGACGTGGCACTACCATCAAATAATGCCCTATCTCTTAATCGAGACCATAAAGTTTGTATCGTAACTTGTTCTTCTGAAACCATGTGTAATATGACATTATAATTTAGTTAACAAATTAATGCAAATTTCTGATAAGTTATTATAATAAGATCTTACTTTTGTGATACATATTATAGATCACTTCTCGAATGGCACTTGTATTCAATGTCGCTGTATTGGTTACACGTTTAATATAACTCCGCTTTTTCTTGGGCGATTCTAATTTTGCATCACTTTTCACACCCTCGGAAATACGACTAACTGTCCTTAAACTAATTTTTAAAGCAGCAGCAACACCCTACAAAAAATGAAATAAAATTTCACTATTATTAATATACATTACATATAATTATTAGTAACCTACCTCTTGAACAGCATTTAAAGGCAACAAAGGCCCGTTGTTGTCCCTTTCTTGCTCAAAGTAGTGCATTAACGAGGCCACGAGTTCCTTACACCGACTATTTAACTGTTTGGGCATCTTTATATAACAAAATTGCCTTTATCTACTCGTAAAATGAATAATTTTGTTTTGAAACAAACAGTTGTTGATTTACAGTATGCGGGGCCAAAGGATTTATAAAGATTTGAAATGCCACAAATTGATTCAGTGTCAAAATTAATACAAATGTCAGTTCCCAGTTTAAATAAGTTTCAAGGTGACAATGTGTCAACGCTGCGAAATCGGTTTAGTGCGTTTACATGTCGATAAGTGATTGGAGCGTTTGCAAAACATTTTATTTCGCATAATGCGTCTAAATTTATCAGAAAGCAACTTATGTGATATTTTAATAACAATGTTTATATGACTATTAACCATAATAAGAGAGTAATGACCATTTTACAATTTATATATCACAATAATATGAAACTGCAATAGAGCAATTGTTTGTGATAGAAACCTAGGCATTAGGTCGGGGAATTTTTATCGTGATGACGTGCACGCCACTTTGTTTGGCGTTGACTATAGGGGTTCATTCGATATGTTTTGACACTCTCTATCAATTGACTTCCGTTGCTACACTACTAATTTGACACAGTGGCGGCTCGTGAAGTAGTGCCACGGTGCCATGGCACTACCTTGTCTTCTTCAAAAAGAATATTTTTTTCAATTTTCAATGTTTTACTTTATTTTCTGCTTTTTCATTTTTTTTTTTTTTTTGGTATAAATTATATGAAGTGACAACACTGACAACGTGACAACACCGCAAGCACCCGCCCGCACCCGACCGACGCGATGAGACGGAAAGCATGCCTTGACCTTGATGTCATGAACTTGTGCCAATTTTGGGCCGGCCCAAATAAAAAGAGAGAAATTTTACCAGCATCGCATACGAGCGACAGAGATAACGCTACGCTAGACATTTTTATATGAGGTCAATAGCGAAAGACAAGTATAATTTGTGCCAGGCACATCATCAGTCGTAATTCGTTATCAAATGATATCGGCGGTGTTTTTGTTCGGTCGGTCGTTTCGTTATGATTACGTCTAGTGCTGATTTCGGTCTTTTTTACCTGAAAAGTGAGAAATAACGTTTTTGTTTTAGTACGTCTAGTGTTAATGAACTGCTCTGTTTTGTGATCATATTGTTTACTGTTTTATTAAAACTAGTGAAAATGAATAAAATCGGGATATTAAAAAACTCATTTAGTGGTTTTTCGCTGGATCAAAAACTGCAAATTAAAGAATTAGGACGGCCAATACCCGATTTAAAAATTGAGAAACAAAGTGGTAGCGGACAAAAATCGCGCTGTCGCAAATTTAATAAAATTGTGTACGATAAAAACAGCTGGATATGTGGTTGTGAAGGAACGAATAAACTATTTTGTTTTGTATGTGTTCTATTTGGAGGTGACGAGACTTGGTCAAAAAAAGGTACAGACGATCTTATACATATATGGGATAAAATGAAGACCCACGAAAAATCTAAAGTCCATATGAATAATGTTTTTAGCTTTTCTATTCTTGGTAAATTAAATATAAGGACTCAACTCAATTCGGCTTATCGCAATGATCTAATTAAACATAATAATCAAGTGGATAAGAATCGATATGTATTGAATAAAATTATTAATTGTATAAGGTTTTGTGGAGCATTTGAGTTAGCCTTAAGGGGTCATGATGAAAAGGAAAATTCGAAAAACAGAGGCATATTTAAGGAGCTGGTGAATTTTAGCGCCGAATTAGACAACGAATTGAAAGTCCATATTCAAAGTGCCAAACTTTTTAAGGGTAGCTCAAAAACAACTCAAAACGAGCTTCTTGAGTGCATGCAAGATGTTTATCATGAAGAAGTTAAGAAGGAGATTGTAAATTCTCCTTTTGTTGCAGTGATTGCCGATGAAACGACGGACGTAGCCTGTGAATTTCAGTTAGTTATTATTTTCAGATATTTGTGTAAAGCACAACCAGTTGAGAGATTTTGGAGATTTTACGTCCCCGACGGACACGATGCCAAATCAATCGCTGCATGCGTTTTAAATGTTGTAAATCCATTACTAGATCAAAATCCAAACAAATTAATAGCTCAAAGCTATGATGGTGCGTCTGTTATGAGTGGTGAATTGAATGGCGTTCAAAAAATTATTAAGGAAACTTATCCACTTGCAAATTATGTTCATTGCTATGCACACCAGTTAAATCTAATTATGACAAGCGCATGCTCTGTCAATAAGCAGGCTAGAATATTTTTCCATAATTTATCTGGATTGTGCTCTTTTTTTTCGACGTCTCCTCAAAGAACAAAAATTTTGGATGAAATAGTTAATCGCAGATTGCCAAGATCTTCCCAAACACGTTGGAATTTTCAGTCACGAGGTGTTCATACAGTTTATGAAAATAGGAAAGACCTGATTGAAGTTATGGACAATATAGAAAGTACTTCACGCGATTCTTCGTCGATTAATCAAGCCAGTGGGTACAAATTAAAGCTGCAAGATACAAATTTTGTATTTTGGCTAAGTATTTTCCATAAAATAATGCCACATGTTGAAATTGTCTTTAACCAATTACAAAAAGTATGCACCGATTCTGTTAAGGTCAAAAATGATTTAGAGAATTTTGAAGCAGCAATTCAAACTATACGAGAACAAATGGATAGCATTATTGACGAGATTGAACGAGTGCAGAGAGAAACTGATGAACCGGCAAGAAAAAAAAGGCAAGTTGAAGAAGGCAGCAAAAAACGGGAAGCGTTAGAAATATGCGATGCAGTATTATCGCAAATAAGAACAAGATTTAACTTTTCTGGGCATTTAGTTGCTTCTAATTTATTTGTGTCTGAAAAGTTTTCTGTTTATAAACATCAGTTTCCTGAAGCACATTTAAATGACACATGCACACAATTTTCATTTTTAGACAAAAACAGGCTTAAAACTGAGTTACAAGTATTATATCAGAGAGAAGAATTGAGTACTACTTCTGGAGCTGTTCCACTATCCATTTTATTGAACGAGGAAGGATTAAATTGTACGTTTCAAGAAACTCTTAAGCTCTTAAGTATTTTAATCACTATACCGATGTCAACATCTGAAGCAGAACGCTCTTTTTCAATGCTGAAACGGATTAAAACTTTCCTCAGAAACACAATGAAGGAAGAAAGGCTTAGTGCTTTAGGAATGCTGTCTGCAGAAAAACATTTTGTTAGTGGCATTGAAAATTTTAATAATAAGGTAATCGAAAACTTTGCTACCAAAAAAGAAAGAAGAATGGACTTCATATATAGAAAACTTTGAAGTTATAGGTACTTCTCCCCACTTGTTTTATAATTTGGTGCGCGTGTGTAAATCGTTTTATTTTTGTTTTTTTTTGGACATATAGATTTATTGAACCTCAAGAACTTTGACCACTAACTATCAAGGGTAAGTTGTTCTTTACAATTTTGAATCGATTCAAAATTATGGCTTCCATTCTGGCACTACCTCACTGAATTGGCACGAGCCGCCACTGATTTAACATCCTGTATTACGCGTCCAATATTTTCCTGTGAATTGTAAAAATTTACCTGTTACTTCCTCTACGACCTCTTCTTCGATGATTTTATCACGTTTGGTCTTAAAAACGTAGAAGATCTGCCTTCTGGAACCACCATCAGCGAAAAAGTCATCGTCCAAGTAAGACGCCAGATTATCCTCCAGATCGTCGGTATTTGCCATCATATATTCAAACCACGAATCGTTGGGTAACCCAAAGTATTTGGTCACCTTTCTTTTCACCCATTCTCGTCGGAAATCGATTGTGGTCATTTTTAAACTACAAATTCTAAGATCTAAAAACGTCAGTTTGGTCAGTTCTCCGACTTTTGTGCTAGCTGGTGGCTAGTTGTTTGATAGATAAAAAGGCGGAGCAATGCAATCAGTATCCAGGTAACAGATTTATATTAATTTTAGCTGCCTGGTGGTCGGGAAATGTAGGGAGAAGGGTTCAAATTTTCTGATAGCGTCATCTACCCGAGAGTACTCGAAATAGATACAATCGTTAATCAGACGGGTTGGTTCCAGTTAAGGTTCTCAGTTGGTAACTGAGAATTGGAGAAGAGCCATAGACTCAGAAGTTGTCATAGCAGTATTTTTGGATTTGAATAGGGCATTTGAAACGATTGATAGAGATATTTTGTTAGGTAAATTGAAGGCATATAGTATATCAGTAAGTGCTTTACTCGTAGTTTTTTTTAGAAATTATTTGTCTAAAAGGATGCAAGTTAGAAAAGTTAATGACAGTATTTCATCAAAAATTGAAAATACGTTAGGTGTTCCACAGGGTAGTATCCTGGGACCACTTCTTTTTATTTTATACATAAATGATTTACCTGCCATAGTCAAAAAATAAAAAATTCAGATTTTCGCCGTTGACACTATGATTTATATAAGTACTAAAAATATTCAGACTGGTATCTCTTATATAAATGAAGACATAAACTTGTCTCAAAATAGTTAGCATCTAACAGACTAAAATTAAATTCAAGTAAAACGAAAGCCTTGTTAATCGGAAAAAAATAATGTACAAATGTTCAACTGAATATTGAATTCGTAGAAAATTTTAAATACCTGGGGGTTTTTGTTGACTCTCGATTAATTTTTGATATTCATTATGAAAAAGTTATAAATAAGATTAGTAGTAAAGTGGGATATTTATCGAGAGTTTCTGGATGTCTGAGTTCATATAGCAGAAAAATTATCTATAATAAAGTCATTCTTCCAAATTTCTTGTGCTGTTCGGCTATTCTATATTTAGCAAATAATTCCATTTTTGAAAGACTGCAAATTTTACAAAATAAGTGCGTGAGAATAATACTGAATAAAGATAAATATACTCCAATTAGGCAAATGCTTAGCAAATTAAAATGGTTCAATGTAAGAAATTTTATCAAATATCTTGTAATGATATTCATTTATAAAGTAAAAAATAATATATTTCCATCAAGTCTAACTATTTTAACATCATCAAATGTCGACCATCATTTACATAATACCAGAAATAAAGATGGCTTCCCTTTAATGACCAAAAAGTATAACATGCTACAAATCTGTATTCCATCAAGGGTTGATTGAATATAATAAAGTTGTTTACAATAATTATTCTGTTTATGTAGCCAAATGTGTTAAATACATCTTTTTACTACTACTACTAGATTTTTTTCAGCCGTTAGGTATTGATTGATGCAAGGTAGCTAACTATTTCGGCATCTAAAAATTATACGAGGGAAATGGAAATGAGATACCATACATCAATCTATTCTGACAAAGAGATTGGGCAAATTTCAAATGTTTACCCGAGATAGACAAAATGTAAATTATAGTGTCATTTTGTTGTATAAAAATGGAACACGGTTGAAATGCGGGACAGAGTTTAAGCTATGTCCAAAATATGGAACGTGCCGGGAAATACATCTGGCAACACTCCAGTGAACGTGATGACGCCAAAATGACGTCATTATTCGATCACTTTTGGTCGCAAACGCTATTGACTAAAAAATGACGTCTTTATTGACGCCATTTCTACAGAGATAATAAGGCGTCCTTTAAAAGGATGTCATTTTGACGTTTTTTTTTTTTTAGGACGTCTACTGAAAAATCAACACTTATCTTATTATAGACTATTTATTAAAAAAGTAACAGGAACTCTCCCACCAAAAAGGATATCATTTTGACGTTTTTTTTTAGGACAGTCAGTACTGAAAAATCAACACTTATCTTATTATAGACTTTTAATTAATAATAAGGTAAACTAGATATCCAAATACTAAGAAATACTTTATTGTTATTTATTAAAAAAGTATCAGGAACTCTCCGACCAAAAACATCTTGTTAAAATAAAAAATTTATTAGAAACTCCTCTGTATAACAATAAACAAGAAGTTTTACTAGAATCTTGGTAATAAAGCGCGGTAAAAATTCAAATTCTGGAACGGTATATCATTCAGCCGATCATCAGCGAAGAAGCACGATCGTGTTTCGTGAACTCGACACACGATACACATACACTGAAGATACAGGATGTTGCCCATGTGGGCGGAGCTTCGTGACGTCACCCAGAGAGTTGTCGGCTCGTGGTTACCAGCGGCAGGATTGTCCTAACGTTGCTGCAGTACACGTGTATCGTGGTTAATACTATACAGGGTGTCCGCAAAGTTGGGGTTTTCCTTTACACGACGTGTAGATCTTGAAAACATAAGCAATTTTTCTTAGTACCATATACACCAATGTCTTAAGGGAACCGAGATAAAGGGCTCTGCAACATCAAAAATATCTGAATACCGTCCTGTAGCCGCGACCCGCGACATCTCCGAGTGGTACAAAGTCACTGGCTCAACCCGACGACAGAACTGGGTCGGGGTCAGTGTGTCAGGTCAGTATGCAACCTTCAACCGACGGTTACGGTCACGCGTGTAGAGGTAATCGCGTAGTCGAGAATCCCTCAACAAGCACTAGAGACGTGGCTGGAGAAGTGCAAGTATCAAAAACTAAAGTGTGGCAAACGCTGCGTGAAGCGGGGCTGTATCCGTTTCACGTCCAACGTGTACAAGCCCTTCAACCTGACGATTTTCCAGCAAGAGTGCGGTTTTGTGAGTGGTTGTTGCATCAACATGACAATAATCCGGACTTTTTGAAGTGCATATTGGTAACAGACGAATCTACGTTCACTCGTAATGGGCTGAATAACTTTCGCAACACTCATGTTTGGTCAGTAGAAAATCCGCACGCTGTCCGTCGGGCACATTTTCAACAAACATTTTCGGTGAATGTTTGGGCTGGCATGGTCATTTCACCATTTATTCTCCCAAATCGATTGGACGGGATGCAATACCTAGACTTTTTACACAACATTTTGCCTCCCTTGTTAGAAGATGTGCCATTAAGTGTAAGACAATCAATGTGGTTTCTGCACGATGGTGCACCGCCCCATTTTAGACGCGAAGTGCGTGAGTTTTTGAATGAATTATTTCCGAATAGGTGGATCGGACGTAATGGACCCGTAGCGTGGTCTGCACCATCGCCGGCGTCTACTCGGTAGCGCATCAGCTGATTTCATTTTCTGTTGGAGCGGTATGATTTCGGGCAGAGACGTACTTAGCCCTTCTTGTCGACTGGAGAGTGAGTACTTTTTCCTTTATTTTTTTTTACTTGGTCGCCCTCGTTTCACTACACATTACCTTTGTTATTTCAAGGGTAGTTGTTTCTGAAAAGGAAAACCCCAACTTTGCGGACACCCTGTATAGTGCGATTTGTTAGTGATTTTTGGTGGGTTTGTGACTTGTTATATTAGTTATAAATACTTTGTATACCCTGTGACGTTAGTAAATTGATAAAAATGCGGTGTACTGTTGTGGGATGTAATTCCGACGACCGATCTAAACGGAATCCTTGCAAAGACATGAAGTTTTCCTCAAGACCCAAACCTTGGCAAAAAATAGCTACATCATAGAAAAAGAAAAATCAAAGTGAATGTAAAAAGCTCTAGGGTTTTGTGAAGCTGCGTAGAAGGTCAATTTGAAACATGCCCTTTTGGGTTACACCCCTAAAAGATATCGTGCTCTAAAAGATGATGCCATTCCTATGGAAAATTTACCCAAGTCTCACCTGGACCATATACATCTGTTGATGGGGAAAAGCTGAAAAGTGCTTACGAAAAAAGACAAAGGGCTAAACTTAGCCCCTAGAGTTTAAGTATAGAATAAGGTCATATATTTTGGGGCGAAACGAAGGCTGGCTTATACTCAGAGTATTGCAGCGAAGAGGAAGAGGATACTCCGACATTCCACTAACCGTGTCATTAACGAATAAACTGAATGCACCTGAAGTATCAGCTGACTATAACGAGGAAGTTTTAGTGGAAGAGATAGATGAGCTCGCACCGCTGAGATGAATCCAACGACACTTAATATGTGAAAATTCGTCCAGCCGTTTGGCCTGCAGGTGAAAATATGCTCGTTATCCGTATCAACCCAAATGATAATCACTCTCAGCGTGACGTCATGTGCGTCGGATGACGAAAATCGAACAGCGGAACATCCGGCACTGAGCTCGACCGATGTCCAAGCTCCATGCGAAATTACTGTTTGACAATGGTTCGTCCATTTTGTTTTATAAATTTATAGGTTTGACCGACGTCACGATGGATCGTGATACATTAACTGATTACGTCTCGATGTATACAATGCGTATACAATGTATACATTGCGTATACAATGAATACAATGTATACAATGATGAAGACAATGTATAGAATAGTGAAGTTAGGTTTATTCGCAAACGTCAGAAAGTTGGTAAACAGAGAAACGACAACTTAAAAAATCTTTGGACGCTCCAAGAACAAAGACATCGATTAACTAGGGTTCATTTGTTGTTCTTAATTTATTTAAAACTGTATGTTTGTATACGTATGTAAATAAATATTATACAGGGTGTTTCAGTTTATTGTTGTATAACTTTAAGATTCGATATAACTTTTAAAATTAATGCATAAAGTCCATATAAACATGGGTCGAAAAATGCGTGGCTTCCGAAATACAGCGTGTTTAAATTTACTTTCTAAAATAGCTTTTTTTAAATATTTCGAACAATATTTGATGTATAACAGTGAAAATTGGTATACAAGGGTTTTTTGGTACGGCAAAACGAACCATGGGCATAGTTTTACTGTAGCCGCTAGAGGGCGCTCTCTACCGTACCTGTAGCGTATTAAAATGACAGAAAATTTTTTCTTAGTGCAATTTTTTGCTTTTTGAATACAAAAAACTGATTCTTCGTACTTTTCAACATAAAAAACCTCTCCTGTGAGTTTTCGTTATAGTTAGCCGTTTTTGAGATATTTCGATTTTTAAGGGTCGATGCATTTTTAATTATTTATGGGAAAATAATATTTTTTTTACATTTTCAATTTGGGCATTACAAGTAATTAAGATGATCGTTTAGATTGTGTTTTTAAACACAGCCATAATTCCTAACTCCAAATAAACACAAAAAAACAGAATATTAATTTGTTTAATTTTCCAATATTATTTTTAACATATTAAATTAATTATTTACAACTAAAATGCTATTGGATACTTAGGACAAACATACATAATCGAAGGTAGTTGCTCGAAATGTAAATCCAATTGTTCAATACACAATTGCAATTTTTTGCTATTTGAATAAAAAAACTGATTCTTCGTACTTTTCAACATAAAAAACCTCTCCTGTGAGTTTTCGTTATAGTTAGCCGTTTTTGAGATATTTCGATTTTTAAGGGTCGATGCATTTTTAATTATTTATGGGAAAATAATATTTTTTTTACATTTTCGATTTGGGCATTACAAGTAATTAAGATGATCGTTTAGATTGTGTTTTTAAACACAGCCATAATTCCTAACTCCAAATAAACACAAAAAAACAGAATGTTAATTTGTTTAATTTTCCAATATTATTTTGAACAAATTAAATTAATTATTTACAACTAAAATGCTATTGGATACTTAGGACAAACATACAAAATCGAAAGTAGTTGCTCGAAATGTAAACCCAATTGTTCAATACACAATTCACATCTACGAATGATCGAACGTGCTATAGCATTATTCAAATAAGGCCTTATTTCATCACATGCATTCCTGATTCTGTCTATTAGCATATCTCTTGTGGTTACGGGAGTCTGGTACACTTGTTCTTTTAGAAATCCCCACACAAAGAAATCTAATAGATTTAGGTCAGGGGATCGTGGAGGCCAGGCGACTGGTCTAGCCGGTTTCTAACTATTCCCGAATAATGAGCTGGACGACCATCAAGCTGGAACCAGGCCAATCTTCTTAAATCTAACATAGCATCATCCCACATATTTGCATGTTCAGCCTTTAAAAATTCCAAGAAGGTCGCAGCATTTAACCTTGCAGGCAAAAGGTAGGGTCCAAATAGTCGATTACGGTAGATACCAATCTACACGTTCACACTAAATTCATGCTGAAAATTTCTTTCCCGAACTGCATGCGGATTTTCATGCGACCAAATATGTTGATTATGAAAATTTACCACTCCACGTCGAGTGAAGCATGACTCATCGGTCCATAAAACGTTACTTAAAAACTCCCTATTCTTATCAGTTCTATCAAGAATCCACTGACAAAATATGATTCTTCGTTCTCCGTCCCCTGGCTGTAGTCCTTGCACAGGTTGCAAATGGTAAGGACGTCTATGGTCATTTCTAAGAAGACGGTGAACATGGCTTGCTGAAATTCCCAAGGCACCAGAAACTCTCCTAACACTTGTGATCGGATCTCTATCAAACTCACGCAGAATCATACGGGTAAATCTGCACTGACGAACATTTATGTTTCCAATTATTTGGCGATGCACTCTTACAAATCCTGAGCGAGTTGGATGTCGTCTGTTTGGAAATCTTCGTGCGTATTCTCTGGCTGCTTCTGCTGCGTTTCCACTTACAAAGCCATACACAAAATGAATATCCGCTAACTCTTGATTGCAGAATAAAAATGGAATTTTTATAAAACTTACAAAAAAAACAGGAAAAAGAAACTAAATTTGGTGCATTCACAATTGCAAAAAAACGTTTCAGGTTTCAACAGACAACAAAACTAACTGACTAACTTGACGTTTAACCTTATTCTGCTTTCAATTTCAAAAATATTTGCAGGCACAGCCTACTTCTAAAAATTATCGAGATACTGACTTTTTAACGTTATTTTATCATAAATAATTAAAAATGCATCGAACCTTAAAAATCGAAATATCTCAAAAACGGCTAACTATAACGAAAACTCACAGGAGAGCTTTTTTATGTTAAAAAGTGTGAAGAATCAGTTTTTTTATTCAAAAAGCAAAAAGAAAATTTTTCGGTCATTTTAATACACTACAGGTACAGTAGATAGCGCCTTCTAGCGGCTACAGTAAAACTATGCTCATGGTTCGTTTTGCCGTACCAAAAAACCCTTGTATGCCAATTTTCACTGTTATACATCAAATATTGTTCGAAATATTTAAAAAAAACTATTTTAGAAAGTAAATTTAAACACCCTGTATTTCGGAAGCCACGCATTTTTCGACCCATGTTTATATAGACTTTATGCATTAATTTTAAATGTTCTATCGAATCTTAAAGTTATGCAACAATAAACTGAAACACCCTGTATATTCACCATTGTATACAATGGTGTATTTATTATACATGGTACATACAATTGCGCCCATCACTGGATGCAATTCAGTAGGCATGATAGTAAACGCTACATCACTAGACTTGAAAATTGACCTTGACAGTTTTCTGTCATTAGCGCTGTCACGTTGACAGATAAATACATGTGAAATACATTTTTGACGTTCCAGATAATTATGTTTTGGCAATGTTCTCAGTAATTTCAAAAATTAATATTTAATGCAATCACTGTTTAACTAGTTTAATTTGTATCGAAAATCAGTCCCAAACATGGCTTCCGAAACAGACGTGGAGTTACTGAAAAGCGAAATCGAAAGGCTGAATCGAGAACTGGACCAAGCAAGCAGTGAAAAGGTGCAATCTGCTCAATACGGTTTGGTTTTATTGGAAGAAAAGAAAGAATTGCAACAGAAATATGAAGAATTCGAGACATTGTACGAAAACACAAAGCATGAACTACAGATTACACAAGAGGCATTAGCTAAATTTCAGTCCAGTCACAAGGTAACAACAAAAACAGGCATAGAGACTGAAGAGTCCTTATTAAATGAATCTGCTATACGAGAAACATCGTTGCACCATCAAATCAATGATCTGGAGAATGAAGTTAAACAGTGCAGACATGAATTGGAAAGGGTCACTGCTGAACGAGATCGAATGCTACAAGAAAACAACGATATGGGCAAGGATAAGGAAGACAGGAATATGGAATGCAAGAAGCTTCGCACTGAGTTGAGAGAAATCAAATTTAGAGAGAATAGATTGATTTTGGACTATTCTGAATTGGAGGAAGAGAACATTGCATTACAAAAACAAGTATCTGCGCTGAAAGGCTCTCAAGTAGAATTTGAGAGTTTGAAGCATGAAATCAGGCGTCTTCAAGAAGAAATGGATTTACTAAACATACAATTAGAAGAAGTGACCAATTTGAAGAAGATTGCAGAAAAACATATGGAAGAGGCTCTTGAGTCACTCCAAAGTGAAAGAGAAGCGAAATATGCTCTGAAGAAAGAGTTGGATCAGCAGATCCACAGAGAGTCGTTCTATAACATAAACAACCTAGCATATAGTATAAGGGGTATGGCTGAACCAAATCTAGGTAATATAAAGCTATATTTTTTATGCTTTGATGACTTTACACAAAAAATCTATATCCTCTATAAAACAAAACTTTTTGTCTTTACCACAACTATAAAATTACAACCTATAATTATCACAGTCCATATAGAGCGCCTCCTGTAGATGTCTGAGACTTGCTTTTGTAATCTAACAGCTTTCTGACACATTATGGCGACAGAGGCATACTAACTACGAGCCCCTTCCCACTTCGGTTGACCCACTTCAAGTTTTGTACCAAAATATGCCTTTATAAACTAAACATGACAAAACAATTTATTTTCTCAAAAATATTTTAGATACACTCTAGTCATAAAAAATACATATTTTAAATCACTTAGATCTATAACTAATAGAACATCTGAACAAATAAACAATGTGCGAATAAATGCGCGAAGTTAACAAAGTAACAATTGAAAGATTACCATTGGGTAACATCACCTTTATTTTTTATTACGGCTGAAATTCTTTGGAGCATAGTGTTAACCAAGTTTTGGCAAAAATTTGGTGTAAAACAATCCCAGATTTCTTGAAGCTTTTGTCTCAGTTTTCCTACTCCTTTTGATGACATACTGCCCCAGACCATAATGGATGCTGGAAATTTCACTTTTCTCTTCAGACAGTCAACACGGAATGCTTCATTTTTTTTGCAAATAACTAATTGTTGAGGTGTCCATTGTCTATGTTCTTTAGCCCACCTAGGCTGATTATTTCTTTTGCAGTGAAGTTAATAGTGGCTTTTCTTTGGCCTATAACAGGTTAAGCACCACGGCGGACACAGGTGTCAGATTTGTGATCAGCCTCCTGGGCCACGGCGGACACCGGTGTCCGCTTGACTTTAAAATTTGTATCATCTCCTCTCGGCCAGGCGGACACGCTTTCTGCGGTTTGGCGTAGTAACATGTCCGCCATGGCCCTGCAACATAAAACGCTGACACCAGGTTTTATGTAGCAATGTTTTCCAGAGAAATCTGGTGATATTCTTATTGTAATATCAAATAAATATTTATTTATTTCACTTATCTATGGAGATAAAATAAACATTTAATAAACGAAGTATATTGAATATATATAAGCATATTTAACAAAAAAGGTTTGCAAATACATATCTACATTTATTTTGTAAAAATTTTAACTAGTTTTGTGAACTAAATTAAAAAATTCCAGACAGAATCTAGGGTTATATTTGCACTGTGCACAATAAATTATTACTTTTTTAACTTTATTTTTTTTCAATAAGTCCATCTTGTTTTTTCTTGTAACAACCCTTGCAGTACCGACTACTTTCCCGTGCCTTGCAATCCAGTTTTAGTAATATGTGAGCCCTCAAATTCACTTTTACAGGACATGTACGGTCATAAGAGTAGCCATCTTCGAATTTCAGCAATTGTTCAACAACTGCATTCCAAAAATTATTTATGGAAATGTCGCTCTGTTCGATCTCCCTATAAATGAAACGTGCATTCACAATTGAGGTACCTAATAAAACTTCAATAGCAACTTACTTTCATAGTCGTTTTTTCTCACCAGAGCTAATTGTAATATCCTCTTTGATCGTCCATTCATTTTAATTTCAAAAAGTTTCACTTTACGCTCAACACTTCAGTAAAACGGTGCAACAGATCACACTCGAAGCGAAAAACTAATGAATAACAACCTGTATCGTCAAGTAAAGGTAGATCGGCTCGATCGTCGGCCAGTCTAGGAAGTATCGTGTCCGCTCGTTCTAAACATTTTCGGAGGGCCATGGCGGACACCGGTGTCCGCTTTACTTTTTTTTAAATCTATGCGAAAAAAAATCAAATATCAAGGATTTGGGGTTAACTAAACGTAAATTTTCAAATTTGTTAAAATATCACATTGGTCCAGGGACATATTTTGGTTGAAAATCCTTGGCGCTTAACCTGATAAACAAGTTGTGGGTTTTTACTTCACTTTTTTTTTATGAGAAAACTTACCTTGCAAGTGCTAAATCCCAGTTTGTGGGCCTCTCTATGAGTTGTGGACCTCGAAATTCTCCTTCCAACAGCGTCACTCCACAGAGCACTTAATTGTAAATAATTGGCACGCCTGTTTTTCACGGTTATTCTTCTTAATGCTCTTCGGTCGGCATTTATGATATTACTTTTTTCACATATCGTGAACCAGTTACATTATATCTTCTAACAATATTTCTCACACTGTACCGTGATAAGTCTAACAAAGCTCCAGTTTCTGAGTGTGATTTCCCAGAATAAAAAAATTTAATTTTTGTCTTCTAGTTTTCTACTATATATTATCAAAATATTCATTGTTAACATTTTAAACCTATAACACCCTGCTACATTTTTATTATTTGTGTTTGATAAGAAAAAAACTAAGATGCAATAGTTGGTCCAACTGAAGTGGGAAGGGGCTCGTATATTGAATTTCAAAAAATAATTGACTATACCTATTGATATTTTTATTACCTGCTGATATAATAGAAGTGCTTGATCGTGTCAGGATTTACACCAATTACTTGATTTGTTTAACGGTAGTTCACAGTATTAATCCTTAAGCTTAGTACACACTAGTAGACCCTGTTGCACAATTTTTCTATAGGCAGTCTGGAGACGGTCTCGAGACACGATCTAAAGATGGTCTATAGACATCCTTCTTTGTCTCAGCTAGCATCCATACGTTAATGTGAATTTTTCGTTCTCATGTTTGTTTTTGCCATCAAACACACTGTTTTGTGTAGAATGGCTGGGATATGACTCGGGGTCCCTCAAAATGGTTAACAGAGCAATGAAGTTTTTTATGTTTTAAGCATTACTATTATTACACTAGTTAATTATAAATGCAACATAATTCTTTTGTTCTCGTGTAATAAAATATTCCCTTTCTGAGGATTTCTGAGCACTTTCCATTTTTTTTCTTGGCATTGAACAGATAGAACACAGTGGATTTACGGAGCATTAATAGGATAAATTCTAGAAGTTCCACTGAGGTAGAAAAATTACCAGCCCCAAAGATCGTTTGCGTCCCCCCATAGACGAAATCCTGGATCCGTCCTTGGATCTGCTCTAAGACTCTGCTTAATGATCTTTTTAATTTATGCAAACTATGCATTCGGTTCCATTTGACAAACTTAGACATAAATAGCACTTTTTTCTGCAGAATTGGATAATTTATATTGCTTCTTCCAGTGTCATATTGACATTCATATAGTCAACGCCAAACAAAGTGGCGTGCACGTCATCAAGGTGGGTGTGTTGAAAAATTTACATTGTTGCGAAACTTTTTGTAAAATAATAAAATTTATTATTTACATATCTAGGTTTATAAGCAATATTAACCTCAAATGAGAACAAAAATAATAGTATAATAAAATTATAGATCTGTACTTGCATAATCATTAAGTATGACAATTATTGATCAGATGACACTATGAAACTACCATATTTAATTGATAGCTTAAAGGTACTGAATAAAAATCCAAATGGGGTCCTCCAAATTTTATGCATGGTATTTATTTTACAGAATTCATACAGAAAAATGCATTCTAAAATTAGGTAAGCTACTGGTGTAAGCTTTTTCTGTACAATAAAGTTACTCGGAGTTTCTTTCTTCAGCGCTGTCTGAATCTGAATCTTCATCACTCTCAAAGTTGATTATTAAAGGTTCGATGTCTGGTCGATCAAAAATTCGTTCTCTTTCATACCATTTAAAAATTTCTTGCTCAGTATGTCGAACACTATTTTTCCACATGTCTGGGGTAACCGTTTGTAGAGCCTCGTTCCACATATCCAAACAGTCTTTTTCACTGTTACCATCTCTACCAATATGTCTGTTATAGTAACCTTTTGCTATGCCCCAAATTAACTCAATAGGGTTAAATATACAATGGTAAGGAGGCAGACGAAGAACTTTGTGCCCATGTTGTTCCGCCAATTCATCAATCACGTATATTTTAGGTCGTTTGTTTCTAAAAAAGCAGTTATTTTAAGAATAGGAATAAACAAAAGAAATATAAACTGTCGACCAAAATATATATAATTAAGAAGCATTATGTACCGAGCAACAATACTCAATAGCTCTGTTTTAAACATTGTGTTTAAAAATGGTATGTTTTGATTTGTCAACCAGTCTTGGATATTTTTTTTTGTCCATGCATTGTTGGGCACTTTGTTCAATATCATGCTGTGATAAGGGGCGTTATCCAGTATAATCATAGATGGACTCTCCAATTTTTCTAATAACTGATGTTGAAACCATTTCAAAAAATTGTCCTGGTTCATCTCTCCATGGTAATCGCTCAATTTTGTTTTCGAAGAAAATATCGCTTCACTACCCTCATTAAACCCATTTTCATTTCCAGCATGTAATATAATGTATCTAAAATATATTAGTTTTAAATTTTATAGTGCAAATTGTGTAAAAGTACATACCTTTCACCATCTGTTTTAATAGCTTTCACGCTTTTTTGGTTTCCATTTTGCCAAGAGTGACCTATGGTCCCATTTTGAAATATCCAAGTTTCATCGAGGAAGACAAACTGGTATAAGGCCTCAACCTTGGCTTGATTGTATTGCCTTAGAAATTCCACCCTTTTCAAAGCTATACTTGGTAGTTCCATGAGCCCTCGTCGCGGATTGTCCTTAAGCCACTTAAATCCAAGATCTCTAAGCAACCGCCTTAAAGACGTGGCACTACCATCAAATAATGCCCTATCTCTTAATCGAGACCATAAAGTTTGTATCGTAACTTGTTCTTCTGAAACCATGTGTAATATGACATTATAATTTAGTTAACAAATTAATGCAAATTTCTGATAAGTTATTATAATAAGATCTTACTTTTGTGATACATATTATAGATCACTTCTCGAATGGCACTTGTATCCAATGTCGCTGTGTTGGTTACACGTTTAATATAACTCCGCTTTTTCTTGGACGATTCTAAATTTGCATCACTTTTCATACCCTCGGAAATACGACTAACTGTCCTTAAACTAATTTTTAAAGCAGCAGCAACACGCTACAAAAAATGAAATAAAATTTCACTATTATTAATATACATTACATATAATTATTAGTAACCTACCTCTTGAACAGCATTTAAAGGCAACAGGCCCGTTGTTGTCCCTTTCTTGCTCAAAGTAGTGCATTAACGAGGCCACGAGTTCCTTACACCGACGATTTAACTGTTTGGGCATCTTTATATACCAAAATTGCCTTTATCTACTCGTAAAATGAATAATTTTGTTTTGAAACAAACAGTTGTTGATTTACAGTATGCGGGGCCAAAGGATTTATAAAGATTTGAAATGCCACAAATTGATTCAGTTTCAAAATTAATACAAATGTCAGTTCCCAGTTTAAATAAGTTTCAAGGTGACAATGTGTCAACGCTGCGAAATCGGTTTAGTGCGTTTACAATGTCGATAAGTGATTGGAGCGTTTGCAAAACATTTTATTTCGCATAATGCGTCTAAATTTATCAGAAAGCAACTTATGTGATATTTTAATAACAATGTTTATATGACTATTAACCATAATAAGAGAGTAATGACCATTTTACAATTTACATATCACATTAATATGAAACTGCAATAGAGCAATTGTTTGTGATAGAAACCTAGGCATTAGGTCGGGGAATTTTTATCGTGATGACGTGCACGCCACTTTGTTTGGCGTTGACTATACACAAAAATCGCATACGTTTATTTTTAAATACTTCCCTATAAGATTCATTGAAATTTCGACCCTTTATCAAAGATACTTCTCTTTTGTTAGCAGAATTTTTTTGTATAAACCTATTGTGCCCTCCAAATGTAAACCCACAACACTTTTAAACTGTGCATAGTACAGTATTTTCCTATTCAAATTGCTTGGATTTTTTGATGTCATCCAAGACTATAGCAGTTCGAAGACATGTAATGTCGAATCATCAAATTAGTGCCTGAAAATATTAGTCTTTCACTCAACTGCGGTTTATAATCATCTATATCAATATCGTTATTTTAACAGCTTGTAGAACTTGTCAAAAGAAGTTGATATACCAGAAATCCCTCGTATAAAAGTTGCATAATAAGAGAGTTAGTTTACGTAATTAAAGATTATTAAAAAAAAAATCATTATCTAGTTTAATGGATACCATTTTTACAAAAACCAGGGTTAAGTTTTAATCAAAATGCTTAAAACAAGTGTTTTAAACACTGATTAGAACAATGAAGGTGTCTTGAACCAATTTGTTTTAAACTGTTTAAAACACCGGTTTTTTTTTCATTTGTGGCTTATTCAATTTTCTTTTTATATTCTTTTAAGTATGATTAAAACTGATTTTATTTTGCAAAACGAAACTAAAAGGTCCATAGGTTAACACACATACGTATTAGAAAAATAAACTTTATTTTTTATTAATTAATCAAACATGAAACTAGGGAACCAATACTAGTGTAAAAAAATCTATTTCTTCAAGAATGAGTGAATTAATAAACTGCATTGAACTCTAATACTAATATACTACAAGCAGCAGAATAATCATATAATATGAGTATGTATTTACTTGTATAATAACATTAAATAACTTAACAAATTCCTATAAAAGTATATGACCCATCTTATTTAACGAAAAATCCTTAAAATCATGGAAAATATACATAGAATAAATTTTTAGTTTTCACTACTTTTTACGGAACTCCAAGTAAAAAAATGTACCTTTTTCACAATTCTCCAAGCAACTTAACTTTGAGGAAACAGGTTCGGTAGAAACATCATCATTGTCAGTATCTGATATATGAATATTTTGTTTTTCTGACAAACTTCCTTGTTTAAGTTGTTTACAATTTTTAATATGCTTGCACATTCTAGCCACCAGTGGCACTATATCCATATTACAGGTTAAACATTTAGCTATTATTTATTTTCGAGCCAGCTTTGGCATCAGTCTCCTTAAAATATTTCCACACGGGATCCTTTCTCCCCCCGGTCATTGCCTTTATTTTTTTGCGGATCTTTAATGCACAAAAAACAAAACACACCACCACGCTACGACTTCGCACATTTGACTTCTGGAGATCGCAACCCGAAAAATTACCCAAAGGCAAACGGTACTTCCCCGACCTCCGCTTTTAAATTAGAGATGTGCCCTGATAGAGCTGGATCAAAAATAGTACACTTTCAAGGAACTTCATTAACGTTTGCTAGATTCTATAAGCAAACGTTTTTTAATTTATTTTTTACTGTTTTAAACATGTATTAACAGTCTTTTGAACATGTTTTTTTCAGCTAAATTCGAATGTTTTAAACAAAAAGCATGTTAAATCATGTTTTTTTGTTTGACAAACCCTGACAAAAACTGCTCGGCGAATACACGACGCTTTACAAGCTTTGAAAATAAAATCCTGGTGTCCACAAATTAAATCCCAAGCATTTACAGTGCGCTGTTGAAGTTCTTCCAGAGTATTTACTGCTCCATCATGATACACCAAGTCTTCCAAATAGCCCCACAGAAAAAAAACGCAAGGCATTAAATCAGGGGAGCGAGCAGGCCAAGAAATTGGTCATTATTTAGATGTTCATGAACTTTTTGTCTAAAGTGTGGTGGAGCCTCATCATGTAGGAACCACATATTTTGTCCCACATTCAGAGGAACATCTTATAATAATTGTGGCAGATTGTGTCGAAGAAAATCTTAATAAATTTCACCTGTCAGTCAAGGTGGAACAAAGTATGGCCCGTTAAGCATGCCATTTATCACGCCAGCCCAAACATTTAATGAAAATCTATATTGAAAATGAGTTCTTTTTACAGCTTGCAGATTTTCTTCTGCCCAAACATTGTTGTGGAAATTGTGAACTCTATTTCGTGTAATTGTGGCCTCGTCTGTACACAAAATTAATTTCGTGGAATAGTCATATCTGTTCTAAAGGCCACTGGCAAAATGCAACTCTTCTAGGATGATCTTCAGGTTGTAACAATTGTACTCGTTGATAAGAATAATACTATTCTTGTCATATTGTCTTCCACCCTTTACTATGAGATACTTCAACTTGAGCTGCTATGCCTCTAGTACTGATTGTTGAGTCGTCTTCGACCATTTCTAAAATGTCTTCCTCAATTTGTAAGATTTCAAGTTGAGCAGGTCTTCCAGCGTGACCTCCTCGTCGTTGTTTTGAATATACTGGGTCACAAAGTCTACTAACTAAATTTACCAACATCCGTGGGGCCGGCTGATTTCTTAAAGGAAACCTTTTCGCATACAACCTGCATGCTACGGCTGCATTTTGTTGGCACACCCTGTATATTAATATTATGTCCTTTAGTTCATTGTTTTTGTTAACATGTGCCATTTTTCGCAAAAAATAATCAGATAAATGAAAGTATACACACTATTAAAAGACTGATACAAATGATCGAACCAAAGACTTGTACTGAAAACCATACAATAACACAAAAAGTTTGCCAAATTTAGATAAACGATAAGAGTAGTAAACAAAAACGCTAAATATTTACACAGCAGTGGTCAATAATATAAAAAAACCTTACTTATAACATTCGTGTTTTTTTAAATTTTTAAACTTTTATCATTTTTATAATTATGCAACTTTTATACCCGTATAGGCGATTTTTGTTATATCAACTCCTTTTGACGAGTCCTACAAGCAGTAAAATAAATGAGTCAACTTTTAAAACACCCTGTACATCAATATATTGTACTTTACAAATCGTTATCTGTTTTATTCCAAAATAATGTTGCATTTGTTTTAGATTCACTCAAAACCAGTTTGTTCTCAAAAATATATGCACACTCCTAAATAAGACATGCTCCTCTATCAGTTCTTCGCTAGTTCCACCCGTAACTAAATTTGTCATAAGCATAGCATATAATTTTATGTTTGCTGTCATCATCATTAGCAACAACGGAGAGATAATTTGAGAAAAGTACGAAAAAATGGTTCCAAGTATACCAATTGGAACAGATTTTATATTTGTTGTATACAGTGGACCTCCGGCAATCCGACAAACATTATGCAGGGCAGTGTTGGACTATCGAATTTGTCGGATTATAGAGCACAGCCTAAGACCCCCTATAGTCCGGAATTTTTTACAAAAGAGAACCTTGTAATCCGACAAATTACATATCCAATGGTAAGATTATATATGTTATGTATATGTATGCACTTTGAAGTACAAATCATACATAGTTTATGTATGTCGAATTTAGTAAATTAAATAACAATAGAGAGCTTACGTTTTATTATAAAATTAAGCATAAATGCACATACATATGTACCAAAATAACCAAGAATTATTAATCAACATCATTAATGAATTTATCAAATTATGAAGCTTGGAAATATTCATCAATTTTTTTTTTGTTTAAGGTTGCTATAACGCCAGATCAGAACTTTGTCCCTCAGTCTTCTCAAAAGTAAAAGTTCGTTGTAGAATTCTCTTCAGCCTATTGTAAACCCAGCTCAAAGTCATTAAGTGTGTCTTGTGCTGTGACTTGTGGAGCAGTTGCAATCACGTCGTTGTTATTTTCCTGACTGTTTGTTGTATAATTAGAAACCTCTTTTATAATCTCTTCGTCAGACATTTCATGAAAAACATTTTCCTCTTTATCTATTCCACGGCACCAGATTTCCAAATCTTCCGGACTTATCTGTGTTTCAGTAACGACTTGTTCTATAACTTCCGAAGTAACACTGATTTGTGGAACGTAGCTAGGAGTGGTGACTATATCTGGCCATAACTTTTTCCAAGACGATTTAATAGTTTATGACGGTAACGCATTCCACGACTGACAAAGAGCAAAAACCAAGTTCTTTCATATTAAATTCTTTTAAAGGTTTTTCTATTGGTTGGTCTTTTGATACGGCTCTCAGAAGTAGTTTTTCTTATAGTCTTGCTTGACAAACTGAATGATATTCTGGTCCATTGGTTGAATCAGTGCAGTGCAATTTGGCGGAAGAAACATCGCAGTGATGCATTTATCCTCAGTTGTTAGTTCTTCTTCAGACGGATGACCGGGAGCGTTATCAAGAAGCAACAACGCATTTTGAGGAAAATTATGATCTTTTAACCATTTTCTAACTTCAGGTACGAAGCATTCATCAAACCACTGTTTGAAAAGGTCTTTTGTCATCCATGCACTTTTTTGTCCATAATAGTGTACAGGTAAATCAATGTTTTTGAATGCCCGTGGTTTATTAGATTTCCCAATGCGCGTGTGTGCCCGCAGCGGTAGTATGGTTACACGCTCTTTATTCACTTTTCGTCCAGGTACGGATTTTTCGTTACAAGAAACGAAAGGTTTGTTAGGCATCACACGCCAAAAAAGCCCTGATTTGTCTTCATTGTACACCTGTGACGGGTCAAGATTTAGGTCAAGATTTAAATCGTTCACCTTTTGCAAAAATCTTAATTTAAAGTGCTCTATGCAGGTGGCATCGTTAGAAAGTTTCTCTCCTGTAATAGTCATTAAACGTATGCCATGACGACTTTTAAAGCGTTCTAGCCATCCTTTGCTGGCCACAAAATCATCTTCTTTTATTTCATTATAAAAAAACTTAGCTTTCATGGCCAACATGGGTCCTGAAATTGGTGCATGCCTATTTTTTTCCTGAAGAAACCACATGTACCAAGCTTCTTCCACTTCGGGATGTTCAGCTTTCTTGAGTGTCTGTCTCTTGCCTGGCCCGCAGTCAGTAGTTGATACGTACTTCTTGATCTTCTCGTGGTTTCTTTTAATGTCATAAATTGTAGATCGGCCTACGCCGTATTCTTTTGCTAGACTACTGAAAGTTTCATTGCGATTTAAGCGATCTAAAATATCACATTCTTCTTTAATTGTCAATGTTTTGTGCTTTCGCTTCTGAGTTTGTGATGGCATTACTAGGTACTATACTTAATACACAATGAATAAATAGTAAACAATGAACGCACGCTAGGCCGTACCGCTATCACCAGTAGTCAAATTCAAACTAAGTAAAACAATGCTTACGCGTCGAACACGATAGCGGTGGCGCGTACAAGTTGTAATCTGTTCAAACCTGCGTGATCTACATTAGCGAATATTGTCAAATACGTATGTATGTAATACATATTCAAAGACATGTCGGATTACAGGGGGCGCCGGATTAGACAGGGGCCGGATTATCGGGGGTCCACTGTATTATAGATATACGATTTGAATAGCTGAAGTGCAGTTCCCCTTACAACATATGACTGCAGTTTTTATAACAATACAACCTCCGTAAATCCAATCATAAACCCAAAAAGGAACCGAGGGCTCAGTTATCCTTCTCTTGTTGCTAATGTACTGCTTGCACAAATTCAAATATTGTTGTATCTGTTGTAGGTAGTGATTGCGAAGACGATATTTCTGATTTAAAGCATATTGAGGCTAGTTTACAGAATTCTGGAGAATTAGCATCTCCTGATGGCAAACAAGTTGACCTGTTCTCCGAAGTTCACTTAAATGAACTTAAAAAACTGGAAAAGCAACTTGAGATGCTAGAAAAGGAAAAATTGTCCCTAACACAAAGCTTGAGAGATAATCAAAGTATGGTTGAAAAAAGCCAAGGCGAACTACAAGTATTTGTAGCTCGATTGACCCAGTTAGCAGCTCATGTGGATTCTTTGCAACATTTATCCCAGAATGTAGACAGAAACATGGCTGACAAATCTGAAGAAACCAACAAAATTGTAGATCAATATAACCAGTGGTTCAAATTATCTGCCAAGGAAATAGAACAATTGGAAAGAGATATTAGAGAAATGGAGAAACTTACAAACATTTCAGACGCCACTTTGCAGCTTAGAACAGAGATAACTAATTTAAAAAATAAAGTTCTAGATACAGAACAGAAGAGTATGGATCTTGAAGGTAAGAACCTGAATATTTAAGGACCAACCAAGAGAATTCATCTAAGTTAGTGTGTTGCTGAAAAGATATTAAATTGGAAACTTCAAAAGTTCTGTGTTCAGATAATGAGATAATATTTTGAGTTCTGAAACCATACATTTCTATTAAATTCATATATGAATCCAATTTCTCCATGAATTTCATATATTTCTAACAACAAACTTAGTTTTGAATACTTTTGGTTGCTGCTCTCCACCTTTTGGCAGTCTACAGGTATATATTTATTCTATTGTGCAAACGAGGAATGTTACGGAGGTTGGATTCCGATTCCGAAAAGTCGGAACTTCCGATTGTTTTTGTCCTTCCGATTTCGATTTTGGTTCTTAAACCTTAAAAGTGTAAAAATCGTCAAGTCTCAGAAAATTGTATTCAAAATTTAGGATTTTTTCAAACTAAATATGTAGATAGTATTATTTTGACAGAACAAAAGTGTTAGTTGAAGATTTATTTAGCATTAATGGTACAATCTCAGTTTTGTATAATTATTCGTGTACACATTTTTTGAATCCATTGGTTGTAATTTTTTTTCTTGTATATCAAAATTACTTCACTGTGCATTTGGAGTATTCATAATGTGATTTTTTAATTTCACCTTAAACATGTTTAAATTCGAACACTGTTTAATATCATTCAATTTATTAAATTCAAATACTTCCTTTTGAGATACAGAGTTACTCTACTATTACAATTTTGCAGATGAAAATCTATACTGCCTCTAGTTTCATTGTTATGATAATGCCTATTTAATTTTGTAAAGTTTGGATATGAAAGTTAGAACTAAATAACATATCAATTTTTTTACTTTCAACCACGCGACCTTATAGTCATTTAAGTGTGATTTTGAATCATAATTGTTGTTGTGGCCTAAAATGAATGACATTCCGTTTTTAATTCTTGTAAATCAAATAGGAGTAACATGTGACTTACTACTTTTATAGTGACAAAACACATACAGTAATGGACAAAAGTATATAGACAAATTAACATTGTGCTGTATTTCTTTTTTAACTTGTTTTATTAATACACCAACCTGTATACATAATTCGTTATAGCATAGTACTCACTTATACATAAATAAATTCATTAGACTCCCTTCAATAAAAAAATAATTGAAAAAAAACTGGAGCTATGAAGGACAAAAATATATAGACAGAGCAAAACAATTATAGAAAAAAGAAGCAAAGTTCATTGAATTATAGAAAACCAACCATGTTCGTGTTAATATTTTTTAGCATAACCATTATTATAAATCACCGCCTGGCATCGTCTCGGCATAGATTGTAGAAGTTTCTTGATATAAGATTCATCAATCTGTCTCCACTTTTGCTCTAAAGCAGCAAAAAGTTCATCCTTGTTTCAATAATTTTTATCTCGTATTTGCTTATCTAAGTATTACCATAGATTTTCAATGGGGTTTATATCGAGAGACTGTGAAGGCCATTTGAGAACAGGTATTTGTTCATCCAAAAAGAATTTCTTTGCGAGATTTGAAGTGTGCTTCGGGTCATTATCTTGCTGGAAGATTGATCTTAAGGGCATATGGTCTTCCTTATAGGGTAACATGACATGCTTTAGTATACTAAGTGACATATAAATCCGAACACCCAGTTTAAATGGTTTTATTTTAATAAAATTTTGTATAGGTACTTAATGAAGCATAATAAGTAAATGATAAAAATTTCAAAATGATTGCACTGCTTTAAAGCCCTTTCACCTTTAATAATGTGTGGATGCACAATGATGTGCTACGCATTCTCCAACGCGCCTAGGCATGCTTCTGATCAGGTGGTCAATGTCCTCCTGTGGTATCTCATTCCAGGCAACCACCAACTTATCTCGAAGTGCTTCTAGAGTCTGAGGAGGACGTTGCAAATTGAGCAATCTCCTACCCATCATATCCCACACGTGCTCAATTGGGGATAAGTCGGGAGATCTTGGTGGCCATGGTAACAATATGACATTATTATGTTGAAAGAAGTCTATTGTGGCTCTTGCAACATGTGGTCGGGCATTATCTTGTTGGAAAGTTGGATCTGCCAGGGTGTCAAGATAGGGTAAAAGATGGGGTTCTAGAACTTCGTGGATATAACGCTGCGCGTTCATGTTACCTCTGATGAAGATTAAAGGTGACCTGGAACCATAAGCTATAGCACCCCAAACCATAACTCCAACAGTGTGATGAACATGTCTTTCAACAAAAAACTGTGGATTACTCCTTTCACCACGTCGCCTTCTAACCCTGGCACGGCCATCGTGCATGCCTCAACAAAATCGAGACTCGTCACTAAAGACAATACTGTTCCATTTCTGATCCCAGAGTGACCGTTGTCTGCACCACTCAAGGCGATTACGTCGGTGTTCTCGAGTTAAAGGGAGGACCCAGTGTGGCCGGTATGAAAACAAGCCAAAACTTCTCATTCGTCGGTAAACACTTCGCATGCCAATAGGTCTTCCGTGTTCTGCAAACCATTCATTTGCAATGGACCTGGTAGTGGAGAAACGGTCCCTTAAGGCCAATAATCTTAGGCGGCGATCTTCACGGTCTGTTGTTCTATGGCGGCGTCCAGTGCCCCTTGCTCTTTGCGTACGGCCTTCTCGAAGCCATGCCTGACAACACCTAACCACAGTGTCTACACTTCTTTGCACTCTTAACTGCAATTGCCCGAAAAGAAAGTCCAGCTTCCCGAAGTCCCACTATACGGCCCCTATCAAACTCACTAAGTTGACGAAATCGTACCTTGTCTCCATACTCTAGGCATCGTAACCGATCGTAAAGGATGTCAAGAACCAAAATCCGCCAACGTTGATTCTTTACTGCGGCTGAAATATTCATTTTTAGAGCGTTAGTGAATTAAAAAAAAGCAGTATAAAAACCGGAATGTCCAACAGATAAGGCTGAAAATTTTTTCACTTGTTATTTACAGTAAGATAAATACATTCGCCAACTTTTATTAAAATAAAACCATTTAAACTGGGTGTTCGGATTTATATGTCACTTAGTATATGTCTGTGTATACAAACTTATCCATAATGCCATCTATTCTATGTAAAGGTCCTAACCCAAACCCCGAAAAACACCCCCAAACCATAACAGACCCGCCTCCATATTTGACAGTGGGCAAAGTGTACTTGGGGTCCACTAGGACGTCTAACGTAATGATCACCATCTGATCCAAACATACTGAACTTGAATTCGTCACTCCCCTCTTCCAGTCACAGATGCTCCAATCAAGATGCAACCTTGCAAATTGCAATCGGTCCTTACGGTTTTTCATCGAGATAAGCGGCTTCTTAATCGTATGACGTGCAAATAACTTCAAATCATTCAATCTTCTACTTATAGTTTTCGTAGAAACACTGACAATTCCTTTTGTCTCGATTTCGGCTTTTCTTTGTCTTGGGGTTTTAAACGGATCTTTGGACGAAATTACTTTTATTAATCTAACTGATCTAGCATTTAGTTTTCTAGGCCGACCACTTCTCTTAGAGGCTTCCAAGATACCTCTTTGTTTATATTTGTTCAGTATTGCCCAGCTGCTTTACACTTCAGCTTCAAATTTTTGTCAATGTCGACTTGACGTTGACCATCTTTGTATAACTCAATGATCTTAGTTTTCACACCGAAAGAAATCTCTGGACCACGCGGCATGGCCTTAAAATCACTCAACTTATTCCACAATACTTGATGAACAGCAACTAATCCTCTTCAGACACGAAACTGTACTAAATAATGTTGAATAGGATTTGTCTACATATTTTTGTTCCTCATAAAAAAGTGCTTATATTCAGACTAGTATTGTGTTCATTGTAGATATTGTAAAAACAAGGAATTTAGTTTTTCTACTAATAACGCATTTGTTTATGGAGTAATGAAGTATGAATTCGTTTACTAAAGGTATTTAGGTAAATATTCATATTTGTCTATATACTTTTGTCCATTACTGTATATGCCAAAACTTATTAAAATCGGATAAATATACGTTCGTGTTTACCTTTTTTCTCACTCAGTATATAATTTATTCATAATGAAATTAACACTAATAGTAAAAGTAAACATTGTTAACATCTTATAATTCAACCCTTATATGATTATATTTAATACTTACATTCACCAAAAGTAATTATTTATAATCATAAATACTTATTCACATATAATAGAATTGTTACATAAAAAACTAAATAATTAAACATATAATAATAATTTATTCACATTAATTACAAATAATAGGTTATAAAAGGGAAAAAAGGCAGTACTGTATCATACAGAGAATAAAAGCACTACAGTTTGAAGACTACTGCTTGTTTTTTTGATAAATTGACTTGCTTTTGTTCTTAGTCTTAGGAAACGTAAATAATATGAAATATTTGACAAAGTGAAACTCCAACCGTTTTTGTTAAGTAACGTGATCAATGATATATTTTGTAATAGAAAATATAAAATAAACGTATTTGCGTCAAGATTTGAAAAAGGCAGTAAATGAACTTTACTGGAATTTACATTTTATGTGTGAAAAATTATATATCTCATGCAATAACCCTATACCTATATTGTTCAACCATCTTGTTTGCAAATGAAAACATATTTTCAAAATTCCGAGTTCTACAAAATAAAACTATGAAAATCATTTCAAATAAAAACAAATATGCTAGGATTAAGTATATGCTAGAACTACAGTGGTTGAATGTAAAACATTTCATATGTTACTTAGTTCTTATTTTCATATTCAAATACTCATTATCATAACTACGAAACTATAGGCAGTATGGATATTCAACTGCAAAGTTCTATTAGTAGCATAAACAGCAAATCTTCATTTAAAAAGCGAGTATTTGAATTTAATAAATTGAATAATGATATTAAACAGCGTTCGAATTTAGAAATGTTTAAGGTGAAATTAAAAAATCACTTTATGAATACTCAAAATGCATAGTGATGTAATAGACAAGAATGTAAAATTACAAAAAATTTGATTCAAAAAAAATGTGTAAACGAATAATTATACAAAATTGACATTGTAGCATTAAGGCTAGATAAATCTTCAACAACAAAAAATAGATTTCGAAATCTCCCTCTAGAAAAATGTTTTCAATGATTGAGATTCAGTCTATATGCTGGAGTTGGGAGTAAATTAGTTCAACCGAAAATTAATGTAAAAATACAAATAGTTGATCGTTGAAATATGCTCAGCTATTTTTGTGAAAATAGACTTTTCACATTGAGAAGAATTACTAGCTTGGAGCAGAAAGCATATATCTCATTCATGCAATAACCTAACTTGTTTTTGTTTCCTAAATAATCAGAATATCTGTAGTAAAGATTTGAAATTATACATTTTACACGATTTGCAATAGTTAATAATGGTTAATTTAATGGTTTAGCCTGATTGTAACTGCCCAAACACAACCGAGATAAAAAATTAATATGAATATATTTTTTATACATTCAGAACTATTTGTTGCAGGTGATCTGAAGCTTCTTAGAGAATTTGCTGTTGAGGCTGGTGCTTCTTTAGATGAAAGTCAGGTTAATCTACAAAATGTATCTGAAGAATTGGCCCAGCTATACCATCATGTGTGTACAGTTAACGGTCAGACGCCTACACGAGTCATTTTGGATCATGAAAAAGAGGGTATGACACCAAGTGAGTAACACTGTCTTTAATATAAAATTATACGTCATTCAAGTTCGCAATAAGCACTACCAGTATTGGTAATTTATTAATGTTGTTATAAATGACAGTTAAAACACCCTTAAAATAAAAAATAATCTAAGACATACTAAAATCATATATCCATCAGTTTGAACTGAAAACGGTTGTGGAGTAACATTTTTATTTCATTTAAGAGTGTGTTGAACGGAAATTGCATAGTAGTTTATTAAATCTACACTTCGACCGGGTGCGCCATCTTATGCTGGTATTGAAACATCGAATGACTTTGATATTTATTAACCGAGTGATTTGGTTATACGCGTTTCTGAAACGTCAATGTACTAAAATTTTAGTCATGAATCGCTTTACACCGAAACATCGCGCCAAAATAGTAACAATGTACATAGTTGTGTTAACGCAACGTGCATATCGTCGAAAATATCGTGGCAAACACTATCCGTCGTTTGGTTTCGAATTTTCTCGAGTACGGTACAGTGGCAGATCGTCAACATACCGTTCATCAACGACCAAGACGTTCCAATAAATTGGTTGAAGCGGTCAGAGACAGACCCAAAAGTGTCGTATCGTCACCGCGCTCAGCATTTTGGCATCAGCGGAACCACGTTGTGGCGCATTTTGAAGGATGATTTGTTTGTTTCCTTATAAGGTGCAGTTAACACAAAAAATATTGCCAACGGTCCACGTCGCTTAAAATACGCCCAAACAGTCGCTCGCATGGTTGATGCTGAACCTGATTTTTGGAAGCAAATTGTGGTGACCGACGAGGCCCATTTCACGCTCTCTGGCGGCGTTAATAAGCAAAACTGCCGCATATGCCGTTGTATGACCGGAAAGTGACTGTTTGGGCCGGCGTTTGCGCCAAAACCATCATTTGGCCATTTTTCTTCAACTAAAACGAAACAGTCGATGGAAATCGATATCGGTGGATGTTGGCTCATTATGTCTGCCCACAAATGCGTGAAAAAGGTCTTGATGGTTACTGGTTTCAACAAGACGGTGCGCCATGCCACACTGCAAATGAAACAATCCAGTTTCTGCAACGAAAATTCCCTGGACGTCTGATGTCAAAAAGAGGTGACATTGACTGGCCACCCAGGTCTCCTGATTTGACCCCACTGGACTCCTTCTTGTGGGGTTATTTGAAAAGTCAAGTGTACGTCAGCAAGCCCCAGACCGCTGAAGAACTCAAGGCAAACATTCGTACCGCAATCGCCGCTATACCACCAGAGATGCTCGAAAAAGTAATGGAAAACGCAGCAAAACGGGCAAATTTTGTTTTGGCCAATAAACGTGGCCACCTGATAGATGTTGGGTTCAAAAACTAGTCCCAATAAATTGTAAAGGACCATATTTAATAAAAATACCCGATATATAGAAATCAGTGTTTAGTTTTCAAAGTTATTTCATGTTTACATACTGACATAAAAGAAGGCCCACCCTAGAATCTAATATATTCTAAAGTATCTGATTCTTAACTCCATGCTCTTCTGGCAGCTAAATGAAACCACATTTGAAAACTTCCAACCACGGATTTATCGAAAACCACAGATTTAAAGAAAAAACGCCGAGAAACGTCAAAGCATTTGTCAAGGGAGACAACCTTTTAACCAAAACCTACTTCACCCAGCCTTCATCCTCTGCTCCCCAGGGTCATCCCCTTAAAAATTTTAAATGACAAGGGGCATCGAGTAACACCTTGTTTGAAAGGTCTTTCGAAGTCCTTTATTTTGACGTTTGATTTGTTAAAATCGGTCAATTCGTTTTCAAGGTAATCAGAAAAATCTTTATTAATCTTAATTCGTTTTCAAGAAAATATCACTTTTAATTTCGATAAGTGTTCAAAATGTTGCCCTTTATTGGCCAAACAATGATATGGGCGATGTTCAAATTCCTGACGGATATTTTCAAAAACATGTTTTTCTGTTCTTTTAATCAGTTGTTTTCGATAAATCCGTGGTGGGAAGTTTTCAAATGAACACCCTGTATAAATGACTATTTACTAACATTTTCGTCAACTCGGTGCAAAAAGGCATTTATAAACATGTTTAATTAAGCAGCCGTAAGAACATGGAACATTCCCATGACGTTTTTGCGCAGACCTAAAAGATCTTGAAACTTTAATTTAAAAATATATTTGTCTTAAACAGGCGAAAACGCTTTGGCCACATACATATCGATGTGCTCTTACGTCATACCATTTGTAAGCAGCAGCAAACTTGATGACTCAAGTGGCTTCACGATGTAATGCTTAACTTTCGTTTTAAATATTTTTTAATCTGTTTTTAACTTGTTCTTGTAATACAGCTGTGTATAGTTTGTATAATTTTGACCATTGTACCATTTATCCAGCTTTCACCATGTTACTGGGTGTTTCCCTCATCCTTAACGTAAACAACAATTAGCAACATCCTCACATACTACTCTCCTGATGATGATGGCAAAGACCATTGAAAGCTAGAGAGAATAAAAAAAGTATAAAGAGTCCTCCTTGCTTAAATTTAGTCGAAGTACCCAACAAAAAGCGGAAGCTTTAATTTTTCACCTAACTGGTCTAAACAACAATAACCAAGTTATATATATATATAACGGGTGATTTTTTAAGAGGTATAGGATTTGATTTTCAAAAAAACACAAAAATTTGAAAAAACGATTAAATCTTTATTTGAGTCGATCGAATGGTCGATATAATTTAATGTTTAAAGATTATTTCATGTAAATGTTGGCCGCGACTCCGCTTTAGATGGCCCATGCGCAAGGTCCAATTTTGGCACACTCTCTCCAACATATCGGCCGGTATCTCACGAATAAATGCTTCAATATTGGCTTCCAGTGCGTCAATCGTTGCTGGTTTATTCCTGTAGACATTAGCCTTAACAGGGCCCCACAAGAAATAGTCCAACGGCGTTAAATCACACGATCTAGGCGGCCAATTGACGGGCCCCAAACGTGAGATAAACTGTTCACCGAACTCGCCTCTCAATAGGGCCATTGTTTCGTGTGCGGTGTGGCATGTGGCACCGTCTTGTTGAAACCACATGTAAGCCAAGTCCAGCTCCTCCATTTTGGGCAAAAAACAGTTTGTTATCATCGCACGGTAGCGCTCGCCATTCACAGTTACGTTCCGGCCATTGTAGTCTCTGAAGAAGTACGGCCCGATGATGCCACCGGCCCATAATCCACACCAAACAGTGATTTTTTCGGGATGCATTGGTAGCTCTTGCAATGCTTCTGGCTGGTCTTCACGCCAGAAGCGGCAATTTTGCTTGTTAACGTACCCATTCAACCAGAAATCAGCTTCGTCGCTGAATACAATTTTTCGATAAAAATGTGGATCTTCCTCCAACTTTGCCAGCGCCTATTCACCAAATTGGAAACGTTGTGGGAGGTCGTGTGGCTTCAATTCTTGCACCAGCTGTATCTTATAAGGTTTTACACCCAAATCCTGTCGCAAAATTTTCCACGTAGTGGAGTAACAGGCCCAATTGCTGCGAACGGCGGCGAATCGACATTTCACGGTCATCACTAACACTGGCGGATACAGCCGCAATATTTTCTTCAGTCCTCACTCTACGTCTGCGTGTTGGTGGTTTAATGTCCAATAATGTAAACTGGGTTCGAAATTTAGTCACTAGCTTCCGAATAGCTCCTGACCAAATTGCCCATAAATTGGAAGCAGTGCTCGATACACTCTCTTAACCGAGCATGAATTTTGATAGTAAAATTCAATAATTTGCAAGCGTTGTTCGTTCGTAAGTCGATTCATGGTTAAATTATAGACCAAACTGAACAAGTTTGACAATGACACAAGACACGATTCACGCGTCATCTGTCAAAAACAGTGTTGCCAAAAAATACTAGCAAAAAAATCACCCATTATATATATATATGTGAGTGTGTATATGAGCAGTAGTCATTGCCATTGCCAAAATTAAGACGATTTTGGGAAAATTCGCTTTTTTACTATGAATTTCGAAACTTTCTAAGCAGCATTTTGTTGATTACTTAGATGCGCAACTTTTCCGCCATTGGTGAGGGTCGAGTTTGAAACACCCTGTATATACAGGACGTAGTCATTGCCGTTAATAACTAGTTAGCTGAAAAAATCTTTCGGAAAATGGTAAATTATTGTAAAGTGTACTCTTGAAACTTTATTTTCAAGCCTCGATGTTATTATTTTCACGAGCTACAAATAAATTCATATTCAATTACTTCATCTTAATGTTCTTACATAGTTGAATGTATATGTATGTATAAAGCTTAAGCAGTTCCTTAAGGCCATCTGCCCCGATACGAAATTTTGTGCTAAATTTAATACGTTAAGTTTCGTACAAAATTAAGGATAGTGAAATGCGAAATGCTTTCGCGGCCATCATCCAACGTTATTTTTTTGGTTGTTAGTTAGTCGTAAAACATTTTTTTTACTTGACGTTTGAAGATGCCAACCACTCGTGTTGGCGAAACACTCCAGGGATATTTCAACGAGTGCGCAATTCCAAGAGAAGGAGAGAAAAAGCATGCATACTAAGTGAAGGGGGCCATGTTGAACAATTTTTGTAATCATTTCGTTAGTTTTTATGTTGTTTAATTTTTTCAATTAAATTAATAATAATTTTGCAAGTTAGACAATAGAACGGTTTTTATTTTTTACTCAATAATGGCGCATCGATGGAAAACAGTCCAAGAGAGATCATTTATTTTAAATTGAACGGGGAATTCAAAAATAATTTTTATTTGGCAAAAAACCATTGGCGTACCATTTTTTTCTTAAAAAATATCGAAGTCAATACCCGTACGCACGCCACTGTTAAAGCTAAAAATTATTTTTGCATTGAAAAATATGCAACATTATTAACTTTCACTACGTACTAAATATCAGTGAAACACCCCGAGTTTTTGTAAGAAAACATTTTTTTACCATAGTTTATAAAGCAAACTAACATTAATTTTTCATGTAGATTCACACCCTTAAATATTCGCATATCATTAAGGAACACCCTGTATACACTCTTGACGAGTTCTGTACATTATATAGTATATCCAAAAGAGCATTAAACTATTACTGTTACTAATACTATATTATTATTATGCTATTTCTATTATTACTATTACTATCACTCACTATAACTATTAGGTTAATGACTGATAGACAAAGCTCCTATAGCCTACAGACGACATCGGCATAAACTCGTACTTTGGAGATTATTATTTCTTTTACTTCCTGTTTTAGTGACAGAAGCAGCGCCATCTATTGGAGAAATGTCTAAATTAGAACTGCTGAGGAGCCGACTGAAGAGTGATATTCCTCTTCATGATTTAGAGACCTTGAACGATACTGCCGTGTTGGCCAGAAATGTTTGTACTATCGTTGACCAGATCAAGCATTTGAGAACTGCCATTGAAAGCACCATCGAGCTAGCTAAAAACAAGCGGGATAAATCGGACGGAGCATATGAATGTAAGTCATTGAGATGTATTTACTGCACATGATAAACTATTTTCACGGATACTTTATTCTGTCACTTAGCGAGGTCTCAACCTTAGACTATGACCAAACTATGGTGTAAGATGTTTTCTGTTAAGAAATTACTAAATATATTTCCATATTCCAAAATTTTGATGAAAAATCAAGCTGGATTTAGAAAAAAATATTCCACAGAAACGGCAATTCAAATGGTGATGGAACACTAGAGAAGAAGTATAGATGAGAAATAATATATTTTAACAATATTTTTATACTTCAAAAGGGCATTTGAGACTATAGATAGGGAAAAATTGTTAATCAAATTGCGTCACTATGGCTTCAAAGGTATCACACATTTTATAAAATTATTTAGTAAATAGAAGTCAAAAAACTAAAGTTGGAAATATTATGTCAAGTGTTCAAAATATATCAATAGGGGTGCCACAGGGGAGTAAATTAGGGCCGTTACTATTTATTATTTATATAAATGATATCTGTGACATTTTAGAACACTGCAAAATTCAAATATTTGCGGACGCATAAGCATTTGGACACTGCTTTAGAACTGTTAAATAGTTATATTGAAAAAATTATGAATTGGTTAAATGTCAATAAACTTAAATTAAACACTAATAAAACAAAATGTATCTCAATAGGGAAACATTTAGGTGAAAATACAATTAGGCTCATGATTAATGATGAAAAAATTGAAGTAGTCGAGTCATTTAAATATCTTGGTATACTATATGTATGGATAGTAAGCTACTGCGCTTCACGAACATTATGAATACATTACTATATTTCAAAAATATTGAAAAAGATAAATTACTTCTATATAGTTTCCCATAACTTTAGTATGTATTCCAAAAAAATTGTGTATAACACAATAATTCTTCCCCATTTTTTATATTGTTCAACCATCTTGTTTACAGCAAATGAAGACATATTTTCAAAATTACAAATTCTACAAAATAAAGCTATGAGAATCATTTTAAATAAAAACAAATATGCTAGGATTAAGTCTATGTTAGAACTGCAGTGGTTGGATGTGAAAAATTTCATATTATATTATTTAGTTCTCGTTTTCATATTCAAATTAAAAAATGATTTATTACCACCACATTTAGAGAACTTCTTAAAATTATCATTTTCACAACTACGAAACTAGAGGAAGTATAGATTTTCATCTGCAAAATTGTAATAGTAGTATAACTAGTAAATCTATATTTCAAAAGGGAGTATTTGAATTTAATAAATTGAATAATGATATTAAACAGAGTTCGAATTTAAAAATGTTTAAGGTGAAATTAAAAAATCACTTTATTAATAATTAAAATACATAGTGACGTAATTTTAATTTTAATCGACATGAATGTGTAATTGCAGAAAACGGATTGAAGAAAAATATGTAACCGAATCCTTATACAAAATCGACATTGTAGCATTAATGCTAAATAAATCTTCAACAACAACAAAAATGTATTCGTGATTTTCTTCCAGCTCTTCGTGAGGAGAGCAGTGAATCCGAAATTCAAGAGCTTCAAGAACAAGTGATAAGACTGAAGAGTCTCCTGTCGACCAAACGCGAGCAAATCGCCACCTTACGAACCGTCCTTAAGTCCAATAAGAATACCGCAGAAGTTGCACTCACAAATCTGAAGTGGAAATACGAAAACGAAAAGAACATCGTTTCAGAAACTATGGTAAAGCTCCGGAATGAATTGAGGCTGTTGAAAGAAGATGCTGCCACATTCTCAAGTATGTCAATCACATAGTCTTTAATCCTTTTTAATTCAGTAGATTGCAGAGAATATTAAGGTTTCAATAAGTCACTCAAGGTTCGCTTATCGCAGTTCTGTATTGTACACGTTACGACGTCAGTGGCATTTGGTTTTCAGTTTATTACATCATGCTTATATCAGTATCCAATGGTCATTCGTATAAATATATTTTTCATTATGATCTTTGGATTAAGGAGACAGAAATACAACTTTTTGTGTGAATTTTCTTCGTATCTTGCTTAGTTTGGGGAGAGGTTTCTTTTGGAAATTATTGTTTTATCACTAATTATGTTAGGACAACAAATAAAGACTAAATTAGATTATATTAACATCTAAACTAATGAATTTTACTGAACTAAGGAATAGTAAATAGTAAGGGTTGCCTTAGGACACGATTGCAGCATTTATTAAACAACGTGACAGTCGTCAACTTAGTATTTATAGGCTATTAATTTATAATTTTTGTAAAGTGTTTTTAGTGATTATTTTTTGTGGCAGTATGGTTCAATTTAGTAATAGTGAAATGACAGATATGAATTTCTGTTATGGAATTGCTCATGGAAACGGTACGAACAGTTTGAATTGAAGAAGCTGTTTTAAATTAAATTGAAGCAAATCCTCATACCAGTACTCGGACAATAGCTGAAGAACTGAATATTACCCATGTCACAATGTGGCAGATCTTAAGAGACCAGATATTTAATCAATAGAGAAAAAGAACTGAAATTGGCAATACATTATCAAAGTTTAAAAACATTTCGGTAGGTGAGCCACAGGGTAGCAAATTAGGTCCATTTCTATTTATTTTGTATATTATTCCTGATATTTTACAACACTGCAAAATTCAATTATTTGCTGATGATACATTAATAGATATATCAAATAAAGACATTGAAACTGCAATAGAGCTGTTAAATAATGATATGAAAAACGTAATAAATTAAACTTAAACTAAACACAAACAAAACAAAATATATGCTAATAGGAAAATCTTTAGATCAAAATACGATAGATCTTACAATTAATCATGAAAAATTGTGATAATCGAATCATTTAAATATTTGGGCATATACGTAGACAGTAAATTAAAATTTGAAGGGCACTATGAATATATTATTTATATCCAAGAAAATAAATTACTTTTATAGAATTTCGCATAGCCTATTCTAAAAAAAATGTGTACAACACTATCATTCTTCATCATTTGTTATATTGTTCGACTATTTTGTTCACCGCAAATGAAAGGGTATTTAAAACTACAAATATTACAAAATAAAGCTATGAGAATCATCTTAAATAAAAATAAATATACTACAATAAATTTGATGCTGAAAGAACTACAATGGTTAAATATCAAAAATTTCATAGCCTACTTGGTTTTCATTTTCATATTCAAGTTAAAAAATCATCTTCTACCAAATCACTTAGAAAATTTTATTGTATTGGACAATGAGTGCCACAATTATTCTACTATAGGAAGTATAGACTTTCGTTTACAAAACTGCAGTAGCAATATAACGAGCAAGTCAGTATTTCAAAAAGGATTGTACGAATTTAATAAATTAAGCAGTGATATCAAGATGTGTGTCAGTTTGAAAATGTTCAAAAGGAAATTGAAAAAAAAACAGAATTCATAGTGGTGAAATTGTGTATCAAAATATGTAGTCTTGAAGATATAATATGTTTTGTGATACACTGTGTGATATGGATATTATGGGCATTGTCGCAATAATGCTAAATAAATCTGAAACAAACAAACAAGTCTAGCTTTTTCTGATTGGTCACGCAGTAGGATGATAGCGAATCCAGGTTTTCTAAGTCGAATATTGTTTGCAAATGAAGGTTGTTTTTCTCGCAATTCAGTCATTAACTTCCACAATAATCACATTTGAGCCGAAAACAATCCGCACGCCTCAAGAGAAAATAATTTTCAGGAACAGTTTTCTCTTAATATGTGGGTTGGAATTGTCGCTGACCATCTCATTGGGCCTCATTTTTTCCACCTAAACTTAATGGAGAAAAATACCAAAGGTTTTTAGGATTTGTTTTACCTGGACTTTTCGAAGAAGTTCCAGTCATCGAAAGATGGCGTATGTGGTACATGCACGATGGAGCTCCACCACAATTTAGTGTAGCGGCGCGGCAATTTTCGGATGAAAATTACCATAATCGCTGGATTGGGAGAGCAGGCCCACACCTATGACCCCCTCGCCCACCCGATATGAATCCCTTAGATTGTTTTCTCTGGGGATACCTTAAAGCGTTGGTATACACAACTCCTATTGAAAGTGGTGAGAATTTACTAAATAGAATCATTAATTCATGTGACGTAATAAAAAATACGCCAGGTATTTTCAAGAGAGTGCGTAATTGAATGATGAAGTGGCCAGATGGTTGTATTGAACCCGAAGGGGGGCATTTTGAACACTGTTATTAATCTATAAGTTATTAAATATTTGTTGTTGTTGTTACGTAATTACTTAATTAGTAATAAAAGATTATAAAAAAATAATTTCCAAAAGAAACTTTCTCTCTTTGTGTGGTCCAGGGATATGCAACTGAGCCGATTTTTTTATATTATAATAAAAATTGCACAAAAGCCAGTGGCGTATGATTTTTTGTTACACATATTCCCTCAGATCCCGCTCGAGACACCACTGTGTAGTCTTAGTTAGGGCTACATTGGCTCCTTAATGTTATAAATACCACCTCCAAATTACAACAAAATTAGGTAAAGGATATTTAAGAAATTTACGAATTATCATTTTTTTATTTTAACACCCTGTATCTTGAGACCTAAGTTCATATGAACGTTTTGTCTTAAAATTACTCAAAGAATCGTCTGTTAAATATATGGTACATAATTAACACCCTGTATAATATCTTTAAAATATTAGCAGCGCTACCATTTACCGTCTACAAAACTAGGAAAAGTAAGCAAGTAATCAAACTATGTAAGAAATAGGACGTCTTGAAATCGTCTAGCACTTGTACTTGGAAAAAATAAAGTATGTCCTAAAAGTTTTGGCACAAAATATTTATATTTTTTTTTCATGAAGAGATTTATTTAAACACTAACTAGTTATCATAATTTACAACTCACTACTTAACTAAACTACTACGAGCCCCTTCCCACTTCAGTTGGCCCACTTCGAGATTTGTACCAAAATATGCCTTTATAAACTAATCATGACGAAACTATTTACTTATAAAACAATTTATTTTCTCAAAAACATTTTAGATACACTGTAGTCGTAAAAAATACATATTTGAAATCACTTAGACCTATAACTAATAGAACATCTGAACAAATAAACAATGTGCGAATAAATGCGCGAAGTTAACAAAGCAACAATTGAAAGATTACCATTGGGTAACATCACCTTTATTTTTTATTACGGCTGAAATTCTTTGGGGCATAGTGTTAACCAAGTTTTGGCAAAAATTTAGTGTAAAACAATCCCAAATTTCTTGAAGCTTTTGTCTCACTTCGGTGATTGTACGAGCAGGATGTTGTCGTAGAACCTTTTTCATCTCGTGCCACCAAGTTTCAATAGGTGACAGATCTGGACTACTAGAAACCCATTTCAAAAGTGATACATTATTTTCTTAAATCCATTTTATAGCCTTTTTTGAGGTATGGCACGCTGCACCATCTTGCTGAAACACAAAATCTTGGCCGGATGTCAAACATTCTTCCATCACTGGTAAAAGCGATTCTTCTAAAATTGCCAAATATTTGTTTGTATCCATATTTCCATCAATAAAATGAAGTTTTCCTACTCCTTTTGATGACATACTGCCCCAGACCATAATGGATGCTGGAAATTTCACTTTTCTCTTCAGACAGTCAACATGGAAGGCTTCATTTTTTTGCGAATAACTCTACTGCGACTGTCACCAACACAAACTTCGAATCGGGCCTCATCACTCCATTATATTGTACACCATTGTTGAGGTGTCCAAAGTCTATGTTCTTCAGTCCATCTAAGCCGATTTTTCTTTTGCAGTGGAGGTAATAGTGGCTTTTCTTTGGCCTATACACAAGTTGTGCAACTTTAGGGTTTTTACTTCACTTTTTTTTATAAGAAAACTTACCTTCCAAGTGCTAAACCCAGTTTGTGGGCCTCTCTATGAGTTGTGGACCTCGAAATTTTCCTTCCAACAGCGTCACTCCACAGAGCACTTAATTGTAAATAATTGGCACGCCTGTTTTTCACGATTATTCTTCTTAATGCTCTTCGGTCGGCATTTGTGATATTACTTGTGATATTTCTCACACTGTACCGCGATAAGTCTAACAAAGTTGCAATTTCTGAGTTTGATTTCCCAGAATTAAAAAATTTAAGTATCAGTAACCGAATTTTCTCACTAATAACCTTTCCTCTACCCATTTTGAAAACCTTAACCACCCAAAACTATTTTAATCGTATTCTGACAGCTGTGATTAATAAAAACAATTGTCATGGCTTTTATTTTTCACAGTCACCTATGCGTTATAGACTTATTCTGCATTGAAATGAAAATAGGTTGATATGCTGTAATTGCAGCATGTGTTATTTTTATGCTGCAAATTTGATTAGGGAGTGATAAAGTTGGTGTTTTTTACTATATATTATCAAAATATTCATTGTTAATATTTTAAACCTATAACACCCTGCTAAATTTTTATTATTTGTGTTTGATAAGAAAAAAACTAAGATTTCAATAGTTGGGCCAACTGAAGTGGGAAGGGGCTCGTATACTATCGAATAATGCGGGGTGGCCCATTCTGCTCTACCAGACGTAACTTTCTTCGAATGTTTCTCATAAAGTCCTGGACGGAATTCAGATCAATTTCTCTCAGTTTTTCGTAAGTTCGCCGTACCTAATTATTCTTCATCTTGGGCTTCCCAGCCTCCATGATAAACCTTCCCAGACAGTAAATCCCAAATATCCTCTATTGGACGAACCTGCGGCAAGTTTGGACGATTATCGTTTTTGGGAACAAAAGGTATGTTTTGTGGTCGAAACCAGATTTTGGTATCTCTTGAGTAATGGCATGATACTAGGTCTGTCCAAAACATGATGTGGTCATTAACATAATGTTCGTGGACAAACTGAAGCAATTTAGAAAGCAATATAGCTCTGACTATTTAAAGCTGCACCCCTCACTCTTTACACAAAAGGTTGCGGTACACCCCTGTTGGAAATTGCGCACCAGTCAAGGATTTTATCTGTAAGTTTCGCTTTATGTTTGTTTCTAACATTGTCAAGGCATTCCTCTACGCTGCCAGTATAAAATCCGTCGTTTCCTTTCATTTAAGAATTACCCAAAATCAATACTTTTCGTCATCCAAAATAATGATTTTTCCATTGGTAAAGTGTACCCGCCCCAGTTGACGACAGCGTCTTGGTATATGAAGTAGTTGCGCTTGAGAATATTTGGGGCACTTAAGTCTCGTTCTATATTTAAGACCATTCCCCCACAATTCTAACAATATCGTAGTCTTGGAAGATCTGTATTGACGAGCCAGCTCCCTTGTTGACATTTCAACCTGATTTTTTGCTCTTCTCACTAATCTTTCCGACCCAAGTGCAGTAAATGCACATGGTCTTCCACTTTTTGAGAGATTCAAACATGGTAATCCCTGCTCGCACTCCGCTATTGTTCTATAAATGGTTCTGCGTGAAATGTTTTCATTCTGGAACATTTGACAGATTTCATCTTTGAGTACACGCCCCACCAACTTGTAGATACTTTTTCTTATTTCTAATTTATACGACATCTCAAAGCGAAAACCTCAAAATAAACAAATTTCAACTGACAGTAGAATAAGTAAACAAACTTTTCTTTGCAAAGGCAACTTAATATTATTTTGTGTTTGTTAAAATTAAATGAATTTTGTGCCAAAACTTTTAAGACATACGTTATAACATTAAAACTAGGAAATTAATCGCAGAAATGTCAAAAAATCAACTAATGTCAAACGCATTTTGATTCTCACTACAGAATATGAGAATAAGGAGACAACAAATGCATGACTATTATGTATCCATCGAAGAAAGAGACCAAACCTAAACATATTCACGTATACTCCACGTGATCGCGCTCCAGAACGCCGAGCACGTTGCAGGGCCGTACTAAGGAAACATGATTTGTGGTTCTACGATACGATCAAAAAGTACGCAAATTTTTCGCAGGGATGTATAGGGTCCAAACGTAAAGCAGGGAATTAATGTATTTTTTTAATTTAACTGTCATGACCAAAAAGAAAACAACTGTCTATTGTTGTTTTTAGTAGAAGTGTTTTATCAAGAAATTATACTCGAAATGTGTCGTCAGGCGCATTTATAAAGCAGGCTTTTAAAAAATAGCTTGACACATTAAAACGACAATTGCATATGCATACAAGTATACCTAACCACCACTTGAACAGGGACGTCAGTGTGCAAACAGTTAATTTTAATATTAGACTAAAAAATGATTAGTTAGGTGGAGTTGAAAGAAAAGGGATTTGAATACATAATAATATATACTAAATATTGTACAAAAATTTATTGCACAGACATTTTACCTCTAAAACCGGAAATACATATATTTGAAAATGAAAATCATTCTAGATCTGAGGCCGTGGAACTCCCACTGTCATCGAGATTTATAATTGAAGGGGCAACGTGAGTATCAATGATATCGTCTAATTCCCACATTTTAGGTTCGACCTTTTCTTTTACATGCTGATACATTTTCCCACTTATTCAGTGTTATTCTTTGTATAGCATCATGAAAAATATTTTTAAGATCAGAAAATTTAAAACATTTATTTTCAGCTGCAACATATTTTTGTATGTCTGCCCAAATGAGCTCAATCGGATTGAGCTCACAATGATAAGGAGGCAGTCGTAAAACAGTTTTATTTTGTTTTTTGTCCATTTCATCAATTATGTTCAGGTTATATTTATTTTTATGCGTCTTGACAATTTGTAGCAATTCTGCCTTAACCGTTGTATCATCATAATCAATCTTTTTATTTTTAAGGCATCCTTGAATTTCTGATTTTTTTGTTGACGTTCTTGAAATGTTCTCTAATTTTCTCGTGTGGAATGAAACATTATCTAATACTGTAACCGAATTATCTTCAAGCTTCGGTAGAGTATTTGAGAATTAATTTTCGAATGAGGCTCCATCCATTTCTTCATGGTAGTCTCCCGTTTCTTTGGATTCAAATGCCCATAAAGCATCGGACACAAATCCATCTTCATTACCGATGAGGCAAATTATCCATCGCTTACATTTTCCTAAAAATAATTCACTCCTGTTGAAAGCATTAAAAACCCAACAAAATGATTACTTGATTTCTTATCTCGATATAGTTTAAGCAAGTACAAAAACAAAAATAAATTATAATTTTAATTGAAATTCCTCGTCTTGTAGGTATTGAAAAATATGTAGGTGTCAGCTTTGCAAACAATGTCCTGAACACTTGAGTCACTCCTTCCTTGCATTTCATGTTTATAAATGTTGAGAGTCATTTGTTTTTCGCTAACGCTAGAATGAAGCATTTTAGCTCTTTTTTAGGCGGTGTGCAGCTAATATCAACGACTTCATCAGCTGTATCCGTATTTTGAGTTCTACGAAATTAAACTGACAAATCTAATAAGCACACAGTGATACCAGTATAAATCTGATGTCAACTCTGTACTGTATAAATATATATATAACATTAACGGCCAACCACCGATCCAACCTGCATGCACGGTCGTATCGTCTCCCACTTCACCCTCTATTTTGTCATTGGTTTTGTGTTTTTCTGCCCAATAACAGTTATGCTCAATCTCTCTTGAATTATATCAGTGTACTGATCACGCAGTAATCACTGTTTTGGTTTAGTCTCTTTCTTCGATACATACATAATAGCTCCTTCCACCTAGTCTGAATTCGCTGGTTCGTGACGATCCCAACTTTACAATTCGGAAGCGCGCAGTGCCTAGATCTTCATTACACTCAGACTTAAAGCTGCACTCCTATAAAATCCAATTGGGTAGCATCCAAAGGCTTGACTTCATAAATCAGACAATTGAGCGTTTTTCAACGTTTACTAACATCCTGTTTTCGAATGTTTCATCTTAATGGACTTGTCAATAAGCAGAACTGCCGCTACTTGACAGAAATCCCTACATTCACCTAAAGTGACCGTGTGGGCCGCGATGCGGGGGCGGGGAATTATCGGTTCTTACTTTTTTTAATATGAAAGCCTACGCACACTTACATTCAATTCCGAATATATGTACAGATGTTAGACGAAAGTCCTGATTTAACCCCTACGGACTTATTCCTGTGGCGTCATCTCTAATTTAAAGCTTACGCTAACAGGATAAACGAGTGCCGCGACCGCGGGCGCTTACATTTGGACGATGTAATTTTTGAAAAATAAATTCCCAAACTATGTACTTTAATAAACATATTTTCGTTGGGACGCCCTGAATTTCTGAGATGTATTTTCTTTACAGGTCTACGAGCAATGTTTGCTGCTCGTTGCGAAGAATACGTTACCCAAGTGGACGAGCTTCAGCAGCAACTTAACGCAGCAGAAGACGAAAAGAAAACGCTCAACCAGTTGCTCAGGTTGGCCGTACAGCAGAAGTTGTCGCTCACTCAACGATTGGAAGAAATTGAAGTGGATAGAGAGATCCGCAACGCGCGGCGACCTAACAATAGGTAATTTTGAATTATTCAATGCTGTCACGATGAACGAGGTTTGCTGGCGATTTGTGGGGCGTAAATAATGGCGTAATCTTCGTATATTGAGAGAGTTTTTATATCTTATCCCACAAGAAATAAAGTCTGGGTTTAAGAACAATAAATTATTTACGGGGGAATAACTAGGATTATACATACTAGGAACCAGGCACTTGCACTATAAGGATCCTATGCATGGGGATCTCATTACTTGTGGGAAAAAGGTTAAATTAGGAAAAAGTTAGGCATTGAGAAAATTTATGCTTGATCTAAACTGTATCCATCGAAGAAACAAAGTAAAATCAAACATATACACCCGTATTGCACGTGATCAAGAACTTAACCGTAGAAGACGCTACAGGGCCGTATCAAGCTATTGTGACTGATCTATCAAAAAATGTCGTACAAGATATGTGTTGCTGTAAATTCTATCAAAAGCATAGTAAATTATCAGGAATATACCACGCCTTTCTAATCATATTTCGACATTAGGAATCAGTGCAAAAAATTCTGTATTCACCATTTCAGCAAAATGTTACTAAAACGCACATGAAAAAAACTTGTGGACCATCTCAATTGAAATTGTTCATATTTTATTATTAACTTACATATATACCCAATAATATTTACAAATCAACCTTCTATTCACAATGCAAAGCAAATTTTTTTGAGCAAATAGAAACTACAGACGTAGTAGTAGTAGTACAAAAGTAGACTCCATAAAGTTTGTTAGTTTGATTGCTATTAAAATTTACATGAGAAATAGGAAGAAGGTCAAAATGGCACTATTATGCTTTGGAACTCCTAAATTAACCCTAATTTTGTGTAATTATAAATTTGGAATTTCCACATTAATAACTAGAAACTTACACTTTGATTGCAGTCTATAATGAACTTACCTGTCTTGCCAAAAAGCCCGTTAAACTGCCAGTCTTAATGGTATCAATCGATTTATATGCTGTATTCCGAGGAGCTTGAATCATCAGAATTGTTGATGTCAATTATAAGGGGTTCAACTTGGGTGTCAATGATATTGTCCATATCCCACATTTTGGTTTCAACCTTCTCTTGGACATGGTCAATACATGTTCTCCATTTTGCTGGCGTAATTCTATCGACAGCAACATCAAACAGTTTTTTAAGGTCAGAAAACTTAAAAGTGCTGTTATTTGACGCCACGTATTGCTTGATGTCGGCCCAAATCAACTCGATAGGATTCAGTTCGCAGTGATAGGAAGGCAGCCTGAGAATCGTTTTATTTTAGTTTTTGGTCATTTCGTCAACAATTTTTAAATCATATTTATACTTATGTCGCTTGACTATATTTATCAGCTCAGCTTTGACCATTGTTTGGTCGAAGTCGATCTTCTTTGAGACAAGCCACTGTTGAATGTCTGCCTTTTTGGTGGCCATTGTTGGAATTTTTTCCAATTTTCTGGAGTGGTACGGGGCATTATCCATCACAATAATTGCGTTATCATCAAGTGTCGGCAAAATTTTTTTGAACCAATTTTCAAATGAGTTACCATCCATTTCTTCGTGATAGTCTCCAGTTTTTTTGGATTCAAATGCCCACAATGCTTCAGGAACAAATCCATCTACGCTACCTATGTGGCAAATGATCAGGCGTTTTCCCTTGTCTGAAAGTAATTAGTTATTTTACTTCTCAGCGAGCGCACTAAATGACGAAATTAAGCAACTTACTCTTTTTAGGTTAGTGTAGGATAGGGTCTTAGATTAGTTTTTGGGTGAAGGAAATACTCAGAAACTTGGATGAGATAGCAAAACTGAGTTCGGAGCTTCCAAATCATTGATTCGATCAGAAAATGAATTATCTGCATCCAAAAAAGTTCATATACTTCGAAACTTACCTGCAGGATTTTTCAATCCCGTCGAAAGGCCATCTAAAAAAGCCTGCCTTGAGGACCTCACAGATCTGTCTACCCAAACCTTTCCCTGCATATGCCCCGCGTTCACCCATGTTTCGTCTAAATAATAAATTTTTCTTCCTTCAGCGCGGAATTGCCTAATTTTTCTAAGGTATTCTCTCCTCCAGATAACAGTTTCCTCCTTTTCTATCAATAAACTATTCCTTCCTCTTTTCAAAAATCGAAAGTCTAGTTCTTTCAACAGCTTATGGAACGTAGATCTTTTAAAATTTGGCAGGTCCTCATCATCATTCACTTGCTTCAATATTTTATCCATTGTAGGTATTTCATTCCTGAAGAAAAAGTGATGTACTTTTCTTCTAATGGCACTTTTGTCAAAGTCATCTATTTTTTCGATGATTTTTTTTCTCGCTGGATATGTTTTTGGCTCAGATAGTGAGTGATTTTGTCTATATTCCTTCAAGGTTTTGTAAACACTTGATCGACCTACTCCAGAAATTTCAGCAACCTTACATACGATATTTTCTATAGCCAATCCACTATTCTCTTGCATTTGGTTCTTGTAAATATTTAGAATAATTTGTTTTTCACCTGCGCTAAGATGAAGCTTTTTAGCCCTTTTGCTGGGTGGCGTTAAGCTGATTTCAACCACTTCATCAGCTGTATCTGTGTCAGACATTTTAGACTAATATTAAATTTCCGCAAGAAAAATCAAGTCAAGACGTGCATAAAACGTTCGCGCTCATAAACGGGTATCCGTAACTGATTACAATCCTGTGCGTGGTGACGAACCATCAACGTGACGCTGAGAGTTCCCTCTACTATGCAGCGTTGCCAGGCTTAATGTCACAATGATCATGTTTTATTGGGAAAATTGTCAGAAATCGCAGAATGTTGAACAGAAACATTACAAGAAGTCTAACCTTGAAATGTGAGGCTACAAATCGATATTCTTATAGGGGGGAAGGGTAGGGAGCTGTTATGGTTCCTATTAACCTTGGTGAAAGTTGGAAACGGTAATATCATATATGGCATACATTCGGTTGAAGGTGTGTGCACGGAAAATAGATTGCGGATAGGATTTTAATAGATAAATCTGCACAAAAAAACACAAAAGGAGATTTTTGTATTTCCCTGAAGAATATCTCAAGGTTATTTCAGATGTACTCATCGAAACTTTATGGAAGGATTATCGAAACCTTATTTTCAATTGCGATAGGGCCACATACCTCGACATCGCATTAATGTGAAAAATAAGACGATAGAAAAAAATTCCCTCACTGATGCTATCTCTTAGGAAAAATTTAACTATAAAGATTGCACAAAAATTTTCTTCACCTTTTTGAGCTTGTTTTCGCATCTCCGTATATGCCGTTCATAATTTGCTGCAGATCAAATTGGAATATACCTTTGTGATGCCATTTATTGTTATATAATGTCCTTTACAACAGTTATTGCACGTATTGCACCAACAGATTGATTTGTGATCCATGCGAATGTGATCAACCACTCTGGCGAAAACTCGCCGAGCGTGGCAACCGTGCGACTTTGTCTGGAGGCTCGTCGCTACAAGCCAATCAGGAAGAGGCCGACAGAGCGCCATGGCTACCGATCACGCGTTGATCACGAATCAACCACTGTTTACGATTACTTTGTAGCTTCGTTAGATACACTTTAGTGATATTCAGAATAACGCATACATTTTCAAAATTATTTCAATTTTATTCACAATAGGTGTTTAAATAGGTTGCCATTATTTTCTAAACATAAATATGATGTTCTAACAGATAAGAAAATGAATCTTTTCTTAAAATTGTAACATCCTGTAGCTCACAAGTTAAGAGGTTTAGGACATACAGTAATGGACAAAAGTTCATAGACAAATATGAATATTTACCTAAATACCTTTAGGAAACGAATTCGTACTTTGCTCCATAAACAAATGCGTTATTAGTAGAAAAACCAAATTCCTTGTTTTTACATTATCTGCAATGACCACAATACAAGTCTGAATATAAGCACTTTTTTATGAGGGACAAAAATATGTAGACAAATTCTTTTCAACGTTAGTTTAGTACAGTTTCGTGTCAGAAGAGGATTAGTTTGTGGTATAAGTTGAGTGATCTTAAGACCATGCCGCGTGGTCCAGAAATTTCTTTCGATGTGATTGAGTTATACAAAGATGGTCAACGTCAAGTCGGCATTGCCAAAAAATTTTAGCTAAAGGGTAAAGCAGTTTTGGCAATATTGAACAAATATAAACAAAAAGGTATCTTGGAAGCCTCTAAGAGAAGTGGTCGGCCTAGAAAACTAAATGCTAGATCAGTTAGATTAATAAAAGTAATTTCGTCCAAAGATCCGTTTAAAACCCCAAGGCAAATAAAAGCCGAAATCGAGACAAAAGGAAATGTCAGTGTTTCTACGAAAACTATAAGTAGAAGATTAAATGATTTGAAGTTATTTGCACGTCCCCCAAGTAAGAAGCCGCTAATCTCGAGGAAAAACCGTAAGGACCGATTACAATTTGCACGGTTGCATCTTGATTGGAGCATCTGTGACTGGAAGAGGGTACGTTTCAGTGACGAATCCAAGTTCAATATGTTTGGATCAGATGGTGTTCATTACGTTAGACGTCCTAGTGGACAAAGATTGAACCCCAAGTGCACTTTGCCCACTGTCAAACATGGAGGCGGGTCTGTTATGGTATGGGGGTGCTTTTCGGGGTTTGGGATGGGACCTTTACATAGAATAGATGGCATTATGGATAAGTTTGTATACACAGACATACTAAAGCGTATCATGTTACCCTATATGGAAGAGAATATGCCCTTAATATCAATCTTCCAGCAAGATAATGACCCGAAGCACACTTCAAATCTTGCAAAGAAATTCTTTCTGGATGAAAAAATAGCAGTTCTCAAATGGCCTTCACAGTCTCCCGATATAACCCCATTGAAAATCTATGGGAATACTTAGATAAGCAAATACGAGATAAAAGTTATTCAAAGAAGGATGAACTTTTTGCCGCTTGGTGTATGAATAAAACAAGTTAAAAAAGAAATACAGCACAATATTAATTTGTCTATATACTTTTGTCTATTACTGTATATTTATATAAACTTTTCTTTCTAAAATGAGCTAAGGAATAATATCCTTTATTTTTAGCAATCAATTAAATTACACCCTGTACATTTATTAGTAGTCGGTGACATCAACTGACAAAATATGTGATAGTGTTTTTCAATGTTTAACAGGAACTTCCAGCGTGCCGGTAGAAGCCAGCGTGACATGTTTTAGCGGCAAAGGGTAAGACGTCGTCTGGTCTACGTCATTGCATTTATAAGTACGTTCTTTAAATTTTAAGGGCGTAGGGTCATTGATAACGAAAACTTTCGAAAAATACGCCATGCACTCATCTGTAGTTTTGTCTTACAGTTGAGTCAGGCATCTGTTTGTTCTAATTCAATTACTGTAAATTTTGAAAGTTAATATTTTATGGAACTAGTACTACTTTTCTAATTTCACAGTACTAAACAATACACAAATAAAGGACTTTCAACGAGAAAAATATTTCATCGTCAGCGAATTCTTTCATATTGCTTCGATAATATGCTAAAACTTCATCTTGTCAAAACGTCTTTTATTTGTGATGAAGCTGATCTTTAATGCTGTTCCAATAGCTATAGAACTAATGCTTCTTATGAAAACGCCAAAAGCATATATATATTTAATAATTAGAATTTTTGCTTACAACATACGATAACTAAAACAAATCTGTACCCCAGAGCCAGACTAGGTTAATTCCATTTCTGTCAAAAATGAGTTCAATATGTTAAGCTTATAATAATATTGTTAATTTTCATTTGTTACATTCAGCATCCATCTATCTGTAATAATAAGGAAGTTACTGCTTTTTAACTCATGTCAAGTCGCATACAATATAATGCAAGAAAAATATTTCAAATACAATTATCTTAAAACTACTTATTTGGACTCAACCTAGTCTGACTCTGAGGTACAGAAATACATTGCAGAGATAACCTTACAATTTCAGTTTGATAATAATGAGGTATTTTTTTTTGTTTTATTCTGCCTTCACTGTTCGTATTACCTGTGAATACATTACGATCTTACGTTATTGAACTTCATGCTGGGATTGAAAGAAATCTTTATGTAAAAAAGTAATGCAATTGGTATTAAAGAGTTCTATGGCTTATGGGATGCACGATTTTCAGTAGTAATTAATATTAACGAAAAATTGGCGTTGATTCTGAAATGGTACTAAAATTCGTTATGATTCTTTAAATAAGTCCAAAGTTGTGATACATTAAAACATGCATGAATGATTTTAGGTTACATAGTACTTAATTCCAAAATTGGTGCAATCTAAAAACGGAAATTCAGAAAAGGGTTTTTAGAAACAGAATATCTGTCCAAGTAGCGGTTCATTAGTCTTCTAGGAATATTTGCTTCCATTTGTTTTCCTGATTTTCAAGGTCATAGTGGTAGCAGCTAGTATATAGGTATTTTCATAGATGTGACTAAACTTACAGAGCTTTTCAATAAGGTCCAAGTTATTATTTGAACGAGTCTATAGCTTGAAATTCGGGGTGATCAAAACGATGTATTTTACTATTTAACGAAGTGACAGAATTAAATATGTAAGATGTCAGTTGGGCAGGCTGTTAAAGTTGAGCGTGTTTGAACATTGAATCGCCTATTACTCATCAACCAATGATAAAATAGTATAGGTCAGTTTTGGAAGTAATAGAAAAGATGTTTCATATTATAAAAGTCATAGAGCAGACGAAATCGGAAAAATCATATTTGTCCTTATCAGATTATTTACGGTTTTTGAGCTATCGCCATTTTTAAGGATTTGTGGAATATCGCTACTTTTGAGACTGTACTATTTTTTTGAAGTTGTCTTTTGTTATTTTTCAATCAGATTCACAGGATTTGCTCTCCAATGATGTGCGCTGGAATAAAGCTATGAGTGAAAATTTAGTCCCGTTAATGTAGGTACAGCAAGCGTCTAATTTGCAATTTTGGCAAATGTCAAAAAGATTCCAGCATATTCCATGAGGCCTGGACAAAAAATTAGTAAGCGGTTAAAGTGCCCATAAAGATGAAAAACTTCTCGATACTATGACCTTCCAAAACAATTTCAGAAAAAAATAGTATAGTCTTAAAAGTAGCGATTTTCCACGATTTCTTAAAAATGGCGATAACCTAAAAACCTTACACAATCGGATATAAGGTTTTTTATTGCAAATATCAACCCCTTTCGTTTGCTCCATAACTTTTGGGACACATTGTATACTCAGATAGATCCTTCCACGAGATTTATATAACATACTATAGCATTTGGATGATTGGCTATTGAATTATAAGTGAGCCAGTATTTATAAGGGTAGTAATTATACAGTAATGGTAAATAATTCAACAGCAGATTCCTTTCAAAGAAATATTGAGATTAATTTTCTTAGTCCGAAAGTCAAAGGCAACCAAGGGTGATAAGCTTATTGTGATTTTTTTTTTAATTTTGCCCATCAATTTGGTATTTAGTCTTCGTTTTTAACGAAATTTGGCATATATTCATCTCGTCAGGCACAGCCTACTTAAAAAATATTTTAGCTTAAGAAAATAAAATTTTATCTCGAGTGCATTGAAAACTTTAAATGGAAATCGAAAAGCGTGAATCATAGCGGGATTCTTAAAGTATACATTTTTTAAGCAAACACGATTGCACACTGCAAATTTTAAATAAAAAATTAAATTATATCAAGCGTAAAAAAATTACGAAGTTAGTAAAAACAGAAAATGTTGCTGCTCGATAAGATAATTTGAAAAAAGATAAATGTTTAGATTTGCCATATAAAAAACACTCATATGCCAAATTTTGTTAAAACGAAGAATAAATGCTAAATTTATGGCCAAAATTCAAAAAAATTACAATATACTTATCGTTCTGTATCTTGGCTGCCTTTGACTTTCGGATTAAGAAAATTTAACTCAATCTCAATATTTATTTGAAAGGAATCTGCTGCTAAATTATTTACCATTACTTATGTGACACCCTGTATACATATTTTAGGCTTACAAAGTCCCCCATCTTATTCAAAATAATCTTCCAAGATGGTGGTCAACCGCCATTTTGAAATTTTCAACTGCCAATTTTGGGCTAAAAGATAGCATTCGTGCATCAGTTTCTGCACCCCAAATTTCAGCTTGATCCATTCAAAATACGAGTTGAGGGTGGCCTATTTGAAAAGCATTATACATTATTTTATGGTATTACTCAATATCTATATTTTAGTAGCAATATTAGCATTTGTCTATGTTATTTAATTCATGTAGATGTAGATCATCTATTAACTAACTCAATTTTATAGTAGCAATTAATCCATTTTATATTTCAATGTGATGTTTAGAACTTTTATTTATCTTTTATAGCGGTGGTGATAAAAAACAAAAAAAGAATGTTAAAACCTAAAGAAAAAACATGTATTCTGTATGTACTATCATTGTTGAATGATTATAGATTTACACGTTAGAACATATTTCAAAAGTACCAGCTACTCTAAAGGTGTGCGATTTAAGGCAGATAGTTTGTGTGAAAAATATTTGAATAGCAACCAAAACAACAGATAAAGTTCACAAACATCAAATTCAACACAAAAGGGGGAAGTCTTTAGTGTGGGATCGGTATTGTAAAAGGCATCATATCCAGTGGCGTAGCTACCTTGGGTGGCACCCGGTGCAAAAGATGGTGGTGTCAAAAGCAATAATTTATAAACGTCATGGGTCATTTAATATTGATATTCAAAATATTGAACAAATAACAAAACACAATAAAAACTAAGACAGAAAAATTAGAATTAAAATCTCTTCAAAATTCGTATTTGTGGCTAATATACCAAGATTGTTAAGCTGCGATTGGGTCATTGTTGCCCGCAAATAGTTTTTTTATTAATTTTTGTTTACTGAAACTCCTTTCACATAAAGCTACGGATACGCAAATCGTCATGAACAATTTTAGTGCAATCATAAGATTTGGAAGAGATTCTGTAAAATCCTATTCTACAATAAACTTTGAAAAATCTAGAGAATCAGAAACTGTGTAGCGGCTTTTAAGTGTCTTCGCAGTATTGGTATCTCCAAAAGTAATTCTGTTTCTGGGACCTCATCATAAAAATCAGTAAATTTGGATATAACTAATTTCAGTTCTTCATTATTCGCCAAAAGCAAAGTATTTGTTTGTACTCGTACGATCTCAAACAATGAAGAGACTTCGATCTTGTCTGGAATTCAACTCTGAAAAAATTGTCACCGGTTGGGTGTCACCCCAAAAAAGAACACACCCAGTGCGGCCCGCTACAAAAATTAAAAGCAAACTAACTACAAGAATACAGCATCGAGACTTATTTCTGGAGCTACAGAAAATTTTGTTGGTAAAAGCAAATTATGAGCTAGTCACTATTGCAGATAATATGACAAACTGCTCATCAAATTAAGCTTCATATCCCATAACTTCTCGGCATTTACACGTTTTTTGCATTTAATGCATCATCTATACAGGGTGTTTATAAATGCAAAGTATACTTTTTCTTAAAAAATTCAAATGGAATTCCGTGTATATTTTTATGGTTTGGCTTATCTTTAATAAAATTTTTCACTTAATTACAGTTTTACAGAAATTACAATTTAAAATAAATAAATACCTAATAGGTATTATTATATTCCTAAAATATGACACAAAGACCTTATGATGGTATCTGCGCGTTGAAATCCAACAACAAACCATGAGAAAAACCTGGAAAAAACCCACGGTCCATTAGTTAGGTTGGAGAATATCAGTTATATTTTTCCTTTAAGGATATCCAACCAAATTTGGTCGCAGTTCAGAAAAGAATTCGACTGTAGAGAGCAGTCCATTTTCCTGATAAAGAGCGTTTAATTTTTCAAAATAACTTTTAGATGTCCATCGACCAATCCCACACTGAAAGCTCACCCTGTGCCTATTCAAGCTAGAAAATTGTGGTTATCTGCCAGAAAGTTTTGTTGAAAACACATTTTTTTCGGATGACATGAGAAAGCAGCCTTGTTTAGAAAACGAGTATGGTGCTCGATAATTAATATTATCAGTTTCCGTTGGTTCTGAGTCCATATTTCTCATTTACCCTCCTTCCGAGCCTATGGACCACGGAAATTCCCGTCCCTTTTTTGATATTAAATCCTCAAAGTATATTGAAACAATACACGTAATAACAATTTACGACTGTCTTGTAATTCGTCCGTGGATTGCCAATATTGCCTGCCATGAGTGAAAATATTTGGAAAAGAATTGCTCATTTACTTGATAGTTGTAAATCGTGCACTTAATCAAAATTAAGTGTTTTTTGACTCAACCTGGTAGCTATCAGGCTGTAACTTTGTTTTAAAATACATGTTAAATTTTATTTATAACACATTGCTTTTTGTGGTTAATGTTACTTATTTAATGGTACCTAATATTTTTAATAAAATTATTTATGTGAACTTTGGCATGTATTTCATTTTAACCATTTTGGATGGATGGATCTTGCGTAGATAGACATGGGCGCCCCCAGGGGCAGGGGCGGTTATGAAAGGTTCAATCGAAGAACTCGGTGCAAAAACCAGGTACGACCAATTTTTATCAAAAATTGCTTTTTAATTTACTAAGCGACATTGGAAGTGTTAGACCCAGAAAAATTAATTTCAACTTCAACTGACACGTTCAATATCTTCGTTACTATTAGAGTTGCAGAAAAAAGTTAAATATAAAAGTTTTAGGCAGAGATAAGTGCTACAACTTACAATCATTTTTAGCTATACAGAGTGTCCCATAAATTAGTGGAAATACAGCAGACGCTCGATAATGTAAACTAATTTAATCCAAGTGTGGTTCACATTATCGAAATGTTTACATTAGCGAACGTGATTTATATAATATTTGATTTATTAAAAGAATCCATACTATTTATAACAAAATAAACAAATATTCTAACAGCGATAAGTATTTTTTTAATTGAAAGAAAAATAATTAACAATTTTTGTCTGCGTAAATTTCCGCTTAGCATTGTCTTCCAATGCCTGCGCCCGTAATTTACGAAGAACTAAAATATCCGTGTATGAAACTTCTTTTCTGTCAGCCCAATCTAAAGCTTGGTTAAAAACTTGTATAGCTTGCGCGTCAGTCACTACACTTCTGACTTCAATGGGATCGTTCTCATCATCCTCACTGTCCATATCCTCCTCCTTATCAGCATCATTCGTCTGCTTATCTTCGTTCCATAAATTAATATCAGCAGGAGTACAAATAATGTTGGTATTCACTGTTTTCAATAAATCAAAAACATCCAATGACACACTAATAACATTATCATTATTGGATCGCAAACGTTCTCTAATTACGCTTAAGGGGACATCGTCTTCTTCATCATCTTCATTATTGGTACAAAAGAGATTGTTCCAACATTTTTGAATAGTTTGCTGGTTAAGTTCATTCCAGGCCATATGTAAATCTAAAACAGCTTCTCGTAATGTTACTTTTGTTTAAAGCCTCAGATAAGTTTTCAGGATTCTTTGATAAGACAGACTAAAGTAGAAACTTCCTATAGTATAGTTTGGTGAGTCTTATTATATTCTGGTCCATCGGTTGAATTAACGGTGTTACGTTGGGCGGCATGTACATGACAAAAATTGACCCATCCCTGCTCCTCAGTTGTTGCTCGGCATTATCCAAAAGTAACAACGCTTTTATTGGAAGCTTCTGTTGTTTTAGGAAACCTTTTACGTACAAATTGAAAACACATCTTCAAATTATGAATAGAGCATTTGTGATAATTGATTGTCATACCTGAGGGACAAAACACCTGTGGAACCATTTCAGGAATATACTGCTAGTCATCCAAGCGGCTTTTGAACAGTCATAATCAACAGGGATATTAACATTTTTAAATGAGCGCGGATTTTTTGCTTTCCCAATTACCAGTGGCTTTATTTTGTGTGAACCATTAGCATTAGTGCAGGCTAGAAACGTTATTCGTTGTTTCTCCGGCTTTCTTCCCGGGGCAGATTTTTCAAATGATGCAGCATAGGTTTTCTCTGGTAACATTTTCCAATAAAGGCCACTTTCATCTGCGTTGTAAATTTGTTCCATTCTTAAATCTAGCTCGGTAATTGTTTTCATCAATTTTTCTTTGAAAGGCTGCACTAATTGTGGTTGTGCTGATAATTTTTCACCAGACAGCAGTCGAATTCCATATCTTGTTTTGAATAGTTGTAGCTAGCCATCACTAGCTACGAAATTTTCAGTTTCTTTCAGTTTTTCATTTAAGAGTCTCGCTCTCTGTTTAAGTACTTCGCCACTAACTGGGACATGATTTTACCGTACTTTTAAAAACCACTTATACAGGGATTTTTCCATTTTAGGTGTCTTCGCATTTTTCAAAGTTTTTCTTTTTCCCGGACCTCCAAATGTATTGCACGTTCTTTGTAAAATTTGAGTTTTCATACGCTTAATTTTACAGATTGTTGCTTTCGATACTCCATATTTTTTTGCTAACTGTGTCACTCCCGCACCTAGTGCAACTTCGTCTATGATTTTCACTTTCTCACACAACTTTAAACACTTTCTTTTATAGGATGTGGATGCCATAGTCGTAAAATATATTAACGCGTGCAATGTATTCACTTACGTACGTATAAACGTATCCTAAACGATCATACGACTGACCGAGTTTGTCGTATTTTATCGCAGAGGTGAATCCCCTACACTCTACATCATAAATCGGGGACTCCCCGACGCCCGATATAAATCATCGAGGCTTCAGCATTTTACCGTCGCGCTGTTTCCGTGCGCCGAGAGTTGTTTACGTTATCAAGCGTACAAACGTTATCGCGCGTTCCGTTTGATCCTATAGAACGAAGTTTGTGTTTACATTAGCGCAAGTTTTCATTATCCCGTGTTTACGTTATCGAGCGTCTGCTGTATAAACTTTAATTTTTTTAAATGGGGCAACCTGTATTTCTGTTGATTTCCAGAAGCGCATTTTCTTTGCCATTCTGCCAATGTATGGTTTATTTAAATTGCTCGCCATTTTTTATAAACGCATTTCAGTAGTTGTTTAAAGCACATGTGTTCAATTCGTCATGGAGCGCTACACGATCCCCAACGCGTCCGTATTGTTAAAAAGTTTTACTTAATGTGCCCAGTGTCACCACCATTAGTCAGTTAGTGTGCAAATTTGAACAAACAGGTGAAGTTAAAGACTTGCGAAGGTCGGGCCGTCCGGAAAATATCGAGAGAGTTTTTGAAAGTGAAGTGGTGCGCCCTGAGACGTCTACCAGACATCGTTCTCAAGAAATGGGTATTCGTCGCACGTCATTATGCACTGTTTAAAAAAAAGACTTGCATTTGCGGCCATACAAAATTCAATAAACTCAAGAACTACCGCCTAGTAACCATGAAAATCGCCGACAATGCAGTTATGAAATATTGCAGCTTAATACCCAAAATAACAATTTTTACAGACAACATATGGTGCAAAACTTTCTGGCTCCTCAAATCCAACAATTTAGCCTGGAAAACATGTTCCAGCAGGACGGAGCAACATGTCACACAGGTAGGGAAACAATGAATCTTTTGCGAACAATATTTCCAGCACGTTTAATTTCTCGATTTGGTGATGTCAACTGGCCAAGCAAGGTCACCGGATTTAACGGCTTCGGACCTTTTTTATGGAGATTTTTGAAAAATAGGGTTTATGCGAACAAACCAAATACTGTAGAGTAGCTGAAGAACAATATTACAAAAGCGATTAAAAATATTCCTCCCGAAACCTGCCAAAAAGAGATTGAAAATGAGGGCTCAGGTTTGCGCGATTTCTAACGGGTGATTTTTTAAGAGGTATAGGATTTGATTTTAAAAAAAACACAAAAAATTTGAGAAAACGATTGAATCTTTATTTGGGTCGATAGAACGGTCGATATAATTTAATGCTTAAAGATTATTTCATGTAAATGTTGGCCGCGGCTCCGCTTTAGATGGCCCATGCGCAAGGTCCAATTTTGGCACACTCTCTCCAACATATCGGCCGGTATCTCACGAATAAATGCTTCAATATTGGCTTCCAGTGCGTCAATCGTTGCTGGTTTATCCCTGTAGACATTAGCCTTAACATGGCCCCACAAGAAATAGTCCAACGGCGTTAAATCACACGATCTAGGCGGCCAATTGACGGGCCCCAACCGTGAGATAAACTGTTCACCGAACTCGCCTCTCAAAAGGGCCATTGTTTCGTGTGCGGTGTGGCATGTGGCACCGTCTTGTTGAAACCACATGTCAGCCAAGTCCAGCTCTTCCATTTTCGGCAAAAAAAAGTTTGTTATCATCGCACGGTAGCGCTCGCCATTCACAGTTACGTTCCGGCCATTGTCGTCTTTGAAGAAGTACGGCCCGATGATGCCACCGGCCCATAATCCACACCAAACAGTGAGTTTTTCGGGATGCATTGATAGCTCTTGCAATGCTTCTGGCTGGTCTTCACTCCAGATGCGGCAATTTTGCTTGTTAACGTACCCATTCAACCAGAAATGAGCTTCGTCGCTGAACACAATTTTTCGATAAAAATGTGGATCTTCCTCCAACTTTGCCAGCGCCCATTCACCAAATGGGAAACGTTGTGGGAGGTCGTGTGGCTTCAATTCTTGCACCAGCTGTATCTTATAAGGTTTTACACCCAAATACTGTCGCAAAATTTTCTACGTAGTCGAGTAACAGAGGCCCAATTGCTGCGAACGGCGGCGAATCGACATTACACGGTCATCACTAACACTGGCGGATACAGCCGCAATATTTTCTTCAGTCCTCACTCTACGTCTGCGTGTTGGTGGTTTAATGTCCAATAATGTAAACTGGGTTCGAAATTTAGTCACAAGCTTCCGAATAGCTCCCTCAGTAGGCCGACCAAATTGCCCATAAATTGGAAGCAGTGCTCGATGCACTCTCTTAACCGAGCATGAATTTTGATAGTAAAATTCAATAATTTGCAAGCGTTGTTCGTTCGTAAGTCGATTCATGAATCAAATCCAAGCGAATAACCAAAATTTCTGTGTTATGTGCCGCGGTTATAATATGGTTCAAGATGACACACGGGTTGATGACGTCAGTTAAACGAATCGCTTGAACGCGTTGGTTTTAACCGCGGTTTTGTTGCAAGTTGTTTATTTTAGAAGAGCGCGTATATAATCTCTAATTATTTTTATTATCACTTAATAATCGGTGCTTTTTCGTCTACAACTGTATATGGAAAGTTTAAATAAGAAAACTTTCATAATATTCATGGGAGAAATGTTTTTTCAGATTTTTTTTTTAATGATGGAACCATGGCTTTGTAGCTGTGATAACTTTCAATTCTCTAAATTTTTCCGCATGTCAAAGAAAACATTTATTGATTCAGTAGAAATGATGAAAAAAGAAATTAGCAAAACCGTATACAGGTGGATATCATCTAGTGAGTTTATATGGCCATATTTTAATATTCTTGTGGTATATGGCTACAGCGGATACTTTGTTAAGCATAGGAACTACATTTAAAATGTCCCCAACAACCGTAATGAGTATAACTAATAAGGTG